AAAACCAACATTGTGCTCATCCACAAAAAGGTGACGCTCATAACCTAGACAAGTGAAGGAAATTGACCCTGGCTTTGTGCATTTCAAAGGTGTACAATGGATTCCATAATTGGCAGCAAGTGGGCTAGGAACGTAAGAATTTCCTGGCCCCAGAAAGGATTCATGGAACACGAGGGATGCTAGGAGCACAACTTCATGATTCAACCAGCCATCGATAACGCTAGGAGGGGAGGCAAAAGAGTCGTGCTTGCATGGCTTGACCTCTCCATCGCCTATGGTTCTGTACCACACAGCTACCTGTTTCATGATATTCAGATCCAAGTGTTTACTGATGTGGTGAGCGAGCTCTAACACAGGTCATCCACGAAAGTTCGCACATCACAGGGTTTTACCGGACCTATACTAATTGAATCAGGGGTGAAAAAAGGCTGTTGAAGGACCATACAGTGTAGACAACGATGAAAGGGATGTTGTAGGGATAGGTGAAAGTTGGTAAGACGATTCAAATGCTGTTGGACAGGCTGTTGAAGGACCATACAGTGTAGGCAACGATGAAAGGGATGTTCTAGGGACAGGCGAATTTTGGTAAGTCAAATCAAATGCTGTTGGACAGGCTGTTGAAGGATCAGGCAGTGGAGGCAACGATGAAAAGGATGTTGTAGGGACAAGTTTGTGTTGTTTTGACGATCCAAATGCTGTTGGACAGGCTGTTGAAGGACCATACAGTGTAGGCAACGATGAAAGGGATGTTCTAGGGACAGGTGAATTTTGGTAAGTCAAATCAAATGTTGTTGGATAGGCTGTTGAAGGATCAGGCAGTGGAGGCAACGATGAAAAGGATGTTGTAGGGACAAGTTTGTGTTGTTTTGACAATCCAAATGCTGTTGGACAGGCTGTTGAAGGACCATACAGGGGAGACAACAATGAAAGTGATGTTGTAGGGCTAATAATCGTGGTAAGATGATACAAATGCTGTTTGGCAAGACTCTTGAAGGAACAGACAGTGAAGACATCGATGAAAGAAAAGTTGTAGGAACCAGTGAGTGTTATTTTGATGATCAAAATTCTGCTTGACAGACTGGTGACAGACAATACAGTGGATACAACAATGAATGGGATATTGTAGGGTATTGAATACGTGTTGGTAAGACGATCCAGAAGGTGTTGGACAGGCTGTTGAAGGACCAGTGTAGATTTCAATGAAATGAATTTTGTAGGGACAGGCGAGTATTGGCAAGAGGATCCTAAAGCTGTTGGATAGGCTGTTGACGGACCATACAGTGGATAAAACAATGAAAGTGATGTTGTAGGGCTAATAATCGTGGTAAGACGATCCAAAAGCTGTTAGATAGGCTGTTAAAGGACCATACAGTGGAGAAAACGATGAAAATGGTAATAGGGAAGGGCTGGTTGGGAAAGGGCTAATAATCGTGGTAAGACGATATAAATACTGTTGGGAAGACTCTTGAAGGAATGGGCAGTGAAGACATTGATGAAAGGGAAGTTGTAGGGACAGGTAGGTGATCAAAATGCTGTTGGACAGGCTGTTGACGGTCCATACAGTGGAGAAAACAATGAAAGGAATGTTGTAGGGACAGGTGAGTGTTGGTAAGACGATCCAAATGCTGTTGGGAAGCAGGTGGAAGACCAGGCAGTGGAGACAATGCTGAAAGGGATGTTATAGGGACAGGTGAGTGTTGTAAGACGATCCAAATGCTGTTGGACAGTCTTTTGAAGAACCAGGTAGTGGACACAATGATTAAAGAGATGTTGTAGGGACAGGTGGATGCTAGTAAGATGATCAATATGCAGTTGGAGATCCCGTTGAAGGACCAGGCCAGAAAGCTGTAGAGACAATGCTGAAAGAGATTATCTAGGGATAGGTGAGTGTTGGTAAGACAATGCTAATGCAAGAGGCAGTTAAAGGACCAGGCAATGAGGCTGTTAAAGGACCAGGCAATGAAGAGAACGCTGAAAGGGATGTTGTATAGACAGGTGACTGTTGATAAGACTGTCCAATTGCTGTTGACAGGCTGTTAGAAGACCAGCTAGTGGAAACAGTATTGAAAGGGGTGTTGTAGGGACAGGTGAGTGTTATTTTGATGATCCAAATTCTGCTTGACATACTGTTGACGGACAATACAGTGGATACAACGATGAAAGTGATGTTGTAGGGCTAATAATCGTGGTAAGACGATCCAAAAGCTGTTGGACAGGCTGTTGAAGGACTAGGCAGTGAAGAAAACGATGAAAGTGATGTTGTAGGGCCAATACGTGTTGGTAAGACGATTCAAATGCTGTTGGACAGGCGGTTGACGGATCGTACAGTGGAGAAAATGTTGAAAGGGATGTTGCAGGGACAGGTGAGTGTTATTTTGACGATCCAAATTCTGCTTGACAGACTGTTGAAAGACCACACAGTGGATACAACGATGAAAGTGATGTAGGGCCAATACGTGTTGGTAAGACTAGCCAAATTCTGCTTGACAGACTGTTGAAAGTCCATACAGTGGATACAATGGTGAAAGTCATCTTGCAGGGAGAGATAATTGTCAGTGAGACAACGCAAATTCTGGCTGTTGAAGGACCAGACTGTGGAGACAACAGAGATATTGTAGGGACAGGTGGGTGTTGGTAAGACAATCTAAACTAGTGTCCCTGTTGCTCGAATTCAAGCAATTGCTAAGTATTACAGGCGCTATTTTAAAATAAAAAACAGTCATAATTTCTGATGACTTAAATAAATTTAATTCAAAGATTATGGAAACAGACCCTACTCAAGATGTACATAACAGATTGATATAACCAACATTTATTGTAAATATCTTATCATTTTTCAAAAGATGATCTTAGTATTTTCTACAAATAGTCTTACTCATAGCCGCATTAGGTTGTCCATAATGATTATAAATTTCTAAAAAAAACATCTTTATTTCATCATCTTGTTGGTGTTCTATGACTTTCCTACAAGTTTGCAAATCGGCTTTTTCTAGTAATGATTGCTCAAGAAATGCAGTAGTGTTAATTCAGTTTTCTTTTTAGTATAACAATTTATCCAAGCTCTCTCCCTTTTTTCCATTGTAATATTTACGCCAACCCAAATAGTAAATATTTCATTTCAATCAAGCAAGTAGATGTTTTTAGCAAACTGTTAAATAAGCAAACTTATTGACTGTTTACAATTAACATATGTTCTTCTTTTCACTTTTAATTTCTGACAACAGCTGGAGTTTCAGAACAATGTTTTTTTCCCATGTTAATCTTATGGAGAAATATGAAACTGTAAAGGGCCCCAGGGCCTCACTCAAGTTTCCTGCACAACTTCATGTTACGCTCTTTCCAATTCAGTAGTTTCGAAGGAGTAATTGTCACAAAAAACCTGCTTGCGTATTAAATGAGTATATATAGATTCTGTTAGGCAGGCTGTTGAAGGCTAGCCAGTGATGACAATGTTGAAAGGGTTGTTGTAGTTATGACAGGCTCATGCAGTGAAGGAGGCGATGCAGGTGTTGGCAAGTCTGGTGATACATGAACTGGTACTGAAGGTGTTGGGGTGGTTGGCAAATCGTTGACAGTTTCAGATGAAGAGAAGAGCAAGTCGCTGTCAAAAGTGTGTACAACCACGTCCAGTTCCACTATATCTTGGATGTCTGCGAGAAATGAGTCTGTCAACTAGTATGTTGGACAAATCTAGATCGACAAAACCACCATTTTCAGTCCACACATTGGAAACTGCTTCGTCTGCTTTTGGGGCTTCTTCTGGTTCATCCAGTTGGTTATACAAAAACTCATCAGCTTGTACTTCAGTTGTTTTATCACGGTCAGATTCATGTCCTAACTTTAACTTATCCTCTCTTGTTACTACATCTTCCATCATTTAGATTTAGTCATGGTCATATTTATTCAATCCTGTTCTTGGCATTTTGTGGAGGTCACAGAATTTTTGCTTTCGTCTTGAAACGCCCTGGCAATCCCATTTCCATTTCGTACCTTCCAGTAGCATAAATCCCCTCTGTGGCCAGGTTGCCTGCCACAAGTTCTTCTGAAGAAAATGTCTTGTTGCTTCCCTAGAATCCAAGGTGCTTCCCAAAAGAACGGGATGGGATTCAGGAATTAAGTCCAGACCTACCTGGGGTACGTTTTTCCCTGACATCATACTTCACAGGGGTTTTCTTTTAGACGACTTTTACGGCAAGCAGGACTTACTGTTAGAACTGCTTTGGGCCAACATTGAAAAATTTTAAAGACACCGCTATTGGTCAAGAAATGAAGAGTTGGTCAAGGGAGACCAAAAGGGAAGAAAAATTTTAACTGACGAGATCAAGCCAAAGATGGAAGAAGACTTGATCTCTGGAAAGAGAAGGGTCTGAAGATAAAGGAACCCTCCCCCCTTTTAGTCGCCTCATACGACAAGCAGGGGATACTGCGGTCTATTCTGACCCGGATACCGCACGGGGGGATTAAATATTATATTGAAGTTTCCCTCACAAGCTTATTATGCAACTGGCTCTCATTATGGTGTATTATGCTAGAGAATATTCCAAATTATTATTCTGTTTTATGTCTCTAACCAATGTACTGTACTTTTTGTATTTCATTTTGAATCTCTTACATTGTATTTTTGTACTTTATGTTATCATAATATCTTATATAATATGTTATCTTATATTTCAAGATACTGAGATCAAATATTTCCAACACTCCATTTCTTGTTAGGTTATATTGAATGTTATCAACACTGAAATTATATCAATATTTTGACCAAACGATCATCCGAAAATGTTTATAATTGGTTTACTTTTGTAAAAAGGGAGAGCTATTACATTTGACCAATTAACGTAATAAAGTTTCCTCTATGTGACGTATGTTACGTCACTTAGCCGAAGGTCTGAATCAGTCTCACTAATAAAATGGCCTTCTCTGAAGATGCTTGGTCTTAATGTTCCTGTGTCCATACCTAAAAAGTTTGAAGATAAAACAATCAACATAAACACAACACGTTTTTGATACATTTTTATTTTAAACACAACTTTTGGTCAACTATTTTACATTATGCAGGGGTCAATATTGTTCTTAACAGATTTTTTTCAACATTTTACATATTTTACACAACTTCACATGTTTTCAGAACCAAATTAGGAACGGAAGAAAACGACGATTATAGGATTAAATAACAAGTTATTAAAAAATGAAACAAAAGCTTAAATATTTACAATAAAACAATAACTAACCCTTTATTTAAATATAAAAATGATCTAAATAAGCTTCTTTTTAACCGCATTCCTATTTTAAAAAATACAGGTAGGTACTGAAAACTAATTATCGATAGAAAAATTAAATCATTTCTATCCCTATAGAATGTTTTAAATTTTTTGAATTTAATTTCATAACAATTTAACAGGAATGAAAAAGTGATTACAACAAATGAAATAGGTTTGAGAAGATTAAATCAAAAACAAAAAAAAAGTATTTAAAACACTATGTTACCAACACCAGTCCCTCATAAACAAGAATTGACCAACAAAAGAGGATTTAACATAATGTGCCTGACCATATCACAATTTGCTCGTTTGTGAAAACAATTCTGAAATTTATGGCACACTTAAAACATAAAATTGAACTAGTAGGCATAAATTAAATATTTTAAATAAATAAACAGAGTTTGGCTGAAATAAATATAATTGTTAAGATTTTTAATGAAAAATACTTAGCCTGGAATGTATGAAATAAGTAGTTATTTTTATTAAAAATAATAAAAAATTGAGGAAATAATAATTCTTTTCTACATTTTGATTTAAGTTTTTTAGCAAATTTCCCATATAGGGAATAAGCTATTACCGTAGTACTCATGGTAAGACCTGGACCCGGGACCGATTTACTTTTTCATTTTGAGGTCCCCAGAGGCCAAAACACCATCCGTTCAAATTCATATATATATATATATATATATATGTGTGTGTCCGTTAGCGTGATAACTCGAGCAAAAATGATCCAATTTTGATGAAATTAGGTACAAACGTGTACCTACGTTTATTTAAACGAGTTCGCGAACTAGCATAATTGGACCATGGGAACAGGGGTTTATGTGGGGTTTTATGAGGCAAAAATGGGGTTTTCCAATTTTTAACCATAAAAACAAAAAGTTTTGTGATTTCTTTCTCAACCATTTTGTAGAGCTTAAAAAAAGAAATAATTTAGTATATCGAAGCGCTGTTGTATGCCTAACGGTCACGGAGAAAATCCAAAAAAAGTGTAATTTAAAATTCCCATGTTATTCTTATGGAGAAAATTAAAACTGTTGTAGTTTACTTGTTTATAGATATAGGCCTATGTTGATAAATTTTGGCGTATAAAGTTTATACTATTGACATATGGTCAAAAAACATGTTTCACCTTCCCCGTAGCAGCAAGCCTAAGCACTCGTTAAATCTAATGTTATTTAAATTGGGAATAAATGTCTTATTTATAGAAATATTTTAGTAAAAATGTAACCAGACAAGTTGAAATTCGCTTAGTCTGCAGGTTTGCTGCGGCGGGGGTATTTATAAATAAATTATAAACAAAACAAAATTCTTAGTTTTTCATTGTTTTTTATGAAATAACTACATTTTATAACAAAATATTTATACGACGTTTTAATATTTTAAGTATAAACAGTAATAATCAACACGAAAAAAAGTAATTTACCTTACTGAGCAGCCTAAGGAAAAACTTATCCAATAACACTAGTTATTCTATTTAAAAGAAAATGAAAAATCAGTAAAAAAACATTATGCTGGTAAAAATATAAATTGTGGCATAAAACTATCATAATGAAATAAAAACTTGATTTTTCATATTGTTTATTATGTACAATAATATTAACTTTATAAAATATTATCTTTGAATATAATGAATAGATCCTGATCAGAAAAGAAGATATCAAAGCTAATCTTAAGAGTAAAATTTTGGTTAACCTAAAATAGGATTTGTTAAATTTTATTTGGCCAAATTAAAATGTAGCCTATGTTCAAGTATAATTTTCAAATTTTTTGCAATATTGCGACATAACTTATGATTTTTTTATATAATTACAAAACAAGCAAAAATTCAAACAATTTTTTAGGAAACTTGGGACAATAACCCTTTCATTGACTTTTGTACTATACTGAAGTAGACATACCATCTATATGGACCAGCTGTCGCCATTTTCATTAAAAAAGAACATATTTGTATGAGCCAGTCACAGATTTCGCTAGTGTCTAACATTCTATTTCTTATTTTTTTGTTACTGAGTTAATGTGACATGTAAGATGCTACGACTTACAATAAGTCATCTTATAAATTTGACTTGCTTTAAAAGTATACATGTGCGACAGAAATCAGTGGTTTACAACTGTCAGTGGCTCACATCAACTACGGCCAATTTGATTTCAAAACTGGTGACAGCTTTAACATGGGAATGAATGTCTAGTTCTTTCAATAATCAAAGGTGATACTCAACAACTAACCGTGATAGAAATAACGACCTCGGGAATATACAGGGTGTCCCATAAGTCAAACTATGTGCAATGGTTTTATGGTAAAGAAAAAATCAAGGATAAAATTTGTTCGGTTAACCAGATATCCGCCATTTTGTATTTTTCACAAAAAGTGATTATATTACGACTGTTCCAACCAATCTTTATGAAAATTTATATGTATATTAAGGTAGAAGAGGTCCATACAAAAAATTATATCTTGATTCAAATAAAATTTTAAATTGACGGCAATTATGAAATTTTGATTTGCATCAAGATACATTTTTTTTCTAACATGGGTCCTATGAGTTTTTTTTTTACCCATACAATCATTTTCTGGAGTTTGGCTGTTTACTTACGGGACACACTGTATATATATTTTTTAAATAGGGAAATTCAGTCAGTGCTTACAAACGGTCTATTATTGGTTTTCATTTCAGTAATTCTTAACATGTACACACCCAAAACAGGATGAACCAAAAACGGTTTAAACACACAAATGATAACTCAAAAAGAGTTCAACTGATGTTAAATCATTACAAGATTGTGTTGAAGATGGTCTTCAGTAGCCTCCGTACTTTTCCTGAAACAAAACATTTAAGGAGTTTTAGTACATTTTGTAGTTAAAAAGTGAAAATTACATCTGATGTAGGTGGATTCTATTTTTTTCTGTAAACAGGTTTATGATTCAAAATTATATTTTTAAGAGGTAATAGTTGACTATCCATATTTCTGCTTTTTACAGAAATTATTTTTTGTCCTAACATAAGTCTACAAACAAGTATAGAAAGGTAAATTAGGAAAAAAATAGTTCTTAACAGAAATACAAATTGAAACAGTACATATGCTAACAAGTATATTAATACTGTATTAGTAAAAGTATTTTTATTATATTTCATAGAGTTTAATAAAAGATATAAAACAATAACGAGGAACAGACACATCACTTTTGGAGAAAATAATACATTCAAATCAAAGAAACGATTATTTCTTGAAATGATTACAAATTTTAAACAAAATACTACACAAAACTAAGACATATTTTTCTGATTACCTACTCCGTAAAAGAAATCAACTTTAAGAACTATTTCTTGAAAATAAAAAAAAACATATTTTAGTATACTAAAATGTATTTATTTTATAACCATACCTGCTGTGATAAACGTCAATGCCAAAATACAGAAATCATGTATTATGACGATTTACTATATTCATTACACAATTTAAAAAGCTTATTATCAATTGGGGAATGAGGGGTGACAGCTTCTTCAACCGTCTTTTAACTACATATTTTTATAAAATAAAAAATGTAACTGTTACAGTGATTTCCAGTAATTAGTATAAAAGTACACAATTAAACATACTACTATCTGTAATCATAAAGAAGTACCCATTACCAAGTAGTATTTCTATATCGAAACTCTCATCATAAATCAAGACCGAAAAAGATAAACACAGATGAAAATATTTATTCAAATACATATAAAAATCCTAACTTATGTAATTTAAAGGAGTTCACATTGATCGTTAAGTGCCATCAAACGTAAAAAAATATCAAATAAAACACATTAATATGGTGCAAAGGGGGTACATAGAAACACAACACTAAGTCTGTGCTTACCGACAATTATCACTCCAACTGGTCATTTGCGCTGTGAAGTAAAAATACTATCACTGACTAAATATTCTAAACACATCGGTGTTAACAAACGTGAATAAAGTTCGGGAAACTAATCATCAGGACAAGAGCCCACAAACCTAATGCAATATGAACCAGAAGGCGTAACAACTATCAAAATACGCCCTAAGGCGTAATTCGCCTAAGGTAATTCATAACTAAGGTGATGTGTACTGAATTTTCACTCCACATATTGTTTCACAATATACAGGTGCTAATGCAGTCTTCCATTACTAGCATTTTAGGTTAGGTTGAAATGGATTGGGCTGGATTAATCTTTATTGCTTAGGGCAAATTGTACTCGTGACAGCATTCTTGAAAAGATCCTATAAATATATTTTTGAAGAAAATATGCAATTTACTTTTCTCGATAAAAATGCATGGTTAAAGTGAATAGCTATCAAGGCAGTGATTAACAGCAGAATTAGATAACTGGACGTTTGACAAAGGGAGAAAAATACATTGATAAAAAGAAGAGCGAGGCAACCAAAAGCTATTACTCGCTCCTAGTGACGAGCCTATGGATCGGCAAAGTAATTGATAGAAGGGAAAGGAATCGGTCAAACCCTATAAAAAGGGCTGAAGCGAATCTGGAGGAGAACAATTGAAAAGGGATTAAGAAAAGAAAAAAACTGAGAAGAGGTGAGGTCCCAGGTGGAAAAAACATTTGATGTTGCTGTTTTCTTGGGGCCCTAGGTTTTAACTTAGAGCTGCAGGATTTAAGTAAGAGAGGACAACTGTAAGGGGTATACCAACTAAGAAAACCAATATTAGCAAGAAATTACTATGTGATCGAAGACTTCAGAAGACTTGGAAGAAAAGTTGACATGACAAAAGGAAGAAGTCTTCTGGAAACATTTTTGTGGAGAAGATTGACTTTGATTGAACACAATATTATTTTTATATAAGATTGAATATACATTCAAAACCGTTAATCCCGTGTAAGAATTCCGTATTTGTTTGTTAATGAACAAAAAGTCACACGTGCAGTACACAAGTGAGGTTATCTACCTTATCAAAAAAATCCTCATCATCCAGCTATAAGAAACACAAACCTTGTTTTAGTTGTGAGAGATTCAAAGAAGAAAGCTTTAAACTTTGAAATGGTTAGCATGTTTGAAGGACATTTATTTTAATGTTTCAAAGACGAATATTTGTTTTAGTAAACTTTCATTTATCTAAGGTGTAGTGGCCAATATTAGAAACCCAAGGGTTTTTCAACACATTTTATAAAATGGTTTTTCAAAATTTATGCAAATTTTGAACCATACGAATGCTTAAACAATATATCGGACTAATAAAGTTATTTATATACATACCACTAAAATATTATTCTAAAACTTATTTACAAAATTTCCTTCCCCAACCTTCTTGAATAAATTTATATTAATATCAACATATAAAGTTTTGTTACTGCTCTAAAGTAAAATGAAAATAAAGATAGGATTGGATTAAATCACATTTATTTTTAGATTAAATAAATAATTAGTTGTGTTAGTGAGTTAATGGTTTTCACTTTCATGAGTAGAAATAGGAATAAACAGAGATGGTATGTTGATCAGCAATGTTAGCATAGCTCAAACTTTAGTAAATAATGGCAACTCTTTTCTTTCTGTTGCTAGAGCATAGATCTAGTCAATAAGGAGGACTTTAGAATATTGAGAGTCCACATAAAAAAATACAATATTTGGTCAGTATTTTCCTAACTACTCATTAAATAAAACTGTGAGCAGTTACCACACAAGAAAGATTTTATAATTTTGCTTTGGAAACCAAAAATTCTAAGGTTGAGAAAGATTTATCAATGAGGATTGATGCTATGGTAGGTAGGCTGAAAAGAAATAGCTTTTTGTATGTACAGTAGATTCTTAATCTATACTATTATATAAAAATCTAATGGTGTCTTTCTGTATGTGTATTACTAATAGCATTACTAATGCAAAAAATACTGAACCAACTGGGCTTAAATTTTGTAAAAATATATCTACCTTACCAAGGACCATTATAGGACTATTCACATTTCGATACTGACCGTAGGCTTTGCCCCTTTGGCTTTAAAAGTTCTGAGATGAAGATTTTAAAAGTAAATATTGATTGGTCTCCATGGCTGCAATGAGAACACTAACCATGTTTGTTTACATTTGCTTTGACAGTTTAATGTAAACAAAAAGAACTGCTAAATTGCATATTTTATAATTTCAGACAGCTGATACAAAGAAATTAGATATAACTAGTGGCTTTTAGGGGCAATAGCCCCTATATATATATTCTAGTAATTATTTTGTACCCTACCTTGAATTATCGTTTAACATTTTTGTATATTATAATATGTATAATATGCCTACTTATTAGATACCTGCATATTGCATTTTGATGTCTGTCTGCTCTGTTTAAAATAAGAATTTCAAAGGACATGCGGTAAGATTGTAATATAAACTTTCTAATTATAATACAACTAAGGAACATTTTCCAATAATAATTTTCATTACAATTATTTATATCTATATATATTTCTTTGAATATAGATGAATTAACTTAGAAAAACACAGAAACAATTTCATCATCCAAATTGTAAAATGCTGCTATAACAAAATCTCTCTGAAAACAAAATTTGTTTTATAGTATCTTTTTTGGTCGATTCCTTGGTCTTCATTTGGTTCTATTACTATTTTAACATCATCTGGCCGCTTTACCCGGCTGAATGCAACATAAAGTTGACCATGGGTAAAGAGTGTTTTTTTTTTTTATAAATGCCAACTTTTGTGAAGATTTGGCCTTGCGTCACAATTTCACCAAATCAAAGTGGTAATCTATACACAGGAATAACTTAATGTTCATCCGATGCTCATCGTGCCAAATCTGACGCCTGTTTTCATTTCGAGGGACAATACCTCTCTGCGTGGTGGTCTTCCGACATTATACATTATTAGTGTGCAAAAGAACAATACATTGTAAAGTATTAAGTTTAAAAGTATCAAATTGTTTGTTCAAAAGATTTTATCTCATTTACACTTTGTGTTGTTTACTAATTCACAAACAATTTTACAATAACAAAATAATCCACATTCAGGTGTGGTTATAATTTTTTCAATTTATATAATCACAGCTGTGTTTACACTAAATAAAAATACATACAATTAGATTCCCATGCTATTTAAATGTGAATTATTTTATTCCCTAACAACCTTTTGGTGCATAATTAAGAATAATGAATAATTTTCCCCAAAATTTCATGCCCAGACCTTTAAAATGAGACCTCTCCCAGTTTTCTACGACCTCCCGTTCGCTCACAATTTCATTGTAAAATTGTGGGCTTACGGAATTAGATATATAGATGTTTTCCATAACTATGAAGTAGGTTTATTTTAATCTAACGTTTTATCATGGATTATTTGTTCTAAAACTATGTCAATGATTATGGAAAAAAAAGATTCTATAACAGTTGCTGTATCAACTCCGGATCTGCTTTGGATTTTTTTAAGCGTCTAAGTTATGAAAATAATGTTATTGATATGTTTTCATGGAAACAGTATGAAAATTACAATGTATAGCTGTTTTGTATGAATTTGAAGGCTACTTTAAAACGAACTGCTAAATATGTGTTAAGATTAACATAACTTGCACATCACATTGTTTTTTATATGTATATTTAGGTAAATTAAGTTATTGAGTTTTGCTAAACCTATGCTTAAATTAAACTAAAGAATATCATCGATTACTAAATTGTATGTCCTTGATTTCTGTTTTACATTTACTTTATTTGATAAATTTATTATTTGTGTTTTGCCACACCACTCATTAAATTAAGCCAAGGAAAATATCATACAACTAAGCAGTACACAGTGTTCATTTGTTTCTAAAATCAATTAAATATCTGTAACTATGTTTACTTAATGGTACGTGTGAAAATTTAAAGGCAATGGACGATGAAACTGATTAAAAGAACTGATTTGTATATTAAGTTGTTTGTTGATATTTTTGTAGAGTAGAATCAGAGATGCAATGAAACATATACTATATTTGCTATTACATTTTTTAGTCCTTGATGCTTTGATAATCATATTAGTTTTGTCTGCTGTCTTTAATGCTAAATTATTTGTTTAACATTTTTAATAGTATAGATATAGTTTCTTTAATATTTCAAAATACTGTATTGATAAGGCACAACAATATTTCAAAAGTTTATAACAGCTGACATAGTTTTGCTAATGATTTATTGTGAGTGAAGAAACTGAAGATGGAAGAATTTGTGATTTAATATGAAGAAGAGGGAAATTTAAAAAAAATGCTCATTTAAATTTAATAATTAGTATTTGTGCAACTTCAAAATTGAAATTTTAAATGTCAATAATAAATAAAAAGATGTGTAATCAAGGGAGATGAAGTAATATGTTAATAATGTAATGTGTTATACATGAAATAATCATGTATGTCGAAGTTTTATTCGATGATTTGGTCAGTTTTTCTCATATCAGCCTACACTAGATTTAAAATTATCAAAACCAAAATGTTGGTATCCACTACTTACCAGGTTTAAAAGTCATAACTTAAACGTTTCTATTAAGGCCATAAAAGTTGAACTTTGTCTCTAAAAGCGTTGGCGGATGTGTAACTATTATATGCAGCAGATGTAAAGATTGAAATGTTTCTATTTTGTGTCCTCTTCCCGTTGCAAAGCACGGGTTCAACAGCTAGTATCAAATATATGTTGATTGAAAGTACCAGAAAGACTAGTAAAATATAGAAACAGAAACTCCGCAATATAATGATGACGTGAGAGATGATAACTTGATACTGATAGAAAAAGAAATTTAGCATGCAATAGTAATGTGTCATTGTTTAAGAGCAGTAATCAATTGTACAAATATAAATAAAGCAGTAAAATAAAAAGTAAAACACAAAAGGTAAACAGACCAAAGAGTCAATTTACACAGTTTAAGTTGTGTAAAAGAATTTAATAATTTTGTTGTGTAGAAATATTGATCAAAGATCTCCTATGAATTTAGAAAATGCAAGTTTCGACACTTATCCACTACAACAAGAAACTTCCTTGTAAATAATAGACTTTTAAGTACAGTTTTCTTAATTTTTAATAAGTCTATCGAGGCAAAAAAGATCCTTAAACTTAATTTCAAGTTAGTTATTGTGACCTACTCCTTAGTTAACCAATAAAAAGGGTATTTAATTAGTCAAGGTGAATCCGTCAAAACCAAGAAAACGCATATAGTCATCAAGTTAGTATTAAATACATGTAAGTCCCAAATACGTTATTTTCACCGCCATCCAAATTTGTTACCCTCCATTGCCACCAAAATCTAAAGTGGCTTTCTCATCTTACCTGCGGAATTGTTTTCCAAGTCACTTTTAATAAAGTTGCCTTTTAGAAGTGAAACTAATAGTATTCATCTGAATCCTATAAATAGAAAGTTGCAGATAAAATAATTTTTTCCCATAAAGAATATCTAACATTCTTGATTAGTTAACTGGCACAACTAACTATATAGTAGGCGTAACACAAAAATAAAAGCCCAATTCTACCGAGTTATAAAAATGTTAACTTTAATCAAGGGGAAGAGGGTCTTTATCAGAAAATAAACTGTTAACAGTTTGAACAGTAAAACTAAAAAAAATGAAAACACATCATGATTCCACTATTATACTTTTTTTAATACTTAAGTTAAAAAAGCGACCATACAAAAGTAGGTATTTTAAGCCAAGTATGAATGGAGATGAGTGGTGCAATCTTGTAGTCTTGTTAGTGACTAAGGCCGACATTCCTTAGACACAGGACTGTTCATAAATAGCCCATACAGTTAATGGCAACTAATGGACCTACAGTTTATAGTGGAATCCAAAAATTTTTGCCTTGTAATTTGTAATTAAATAAATGGTCTAATTATCAGGATAGTACTGCGGATAGTCGTAGTACTCACTAGTGCGGACATTAATCCACAACAGGGGGTATCGCATACAGTGCATTCCTATAAATATCCACAATTCGTGACCTCCTAGTAGCTGGATTTCAGTAGGACGCCATCGTCCCAGTCTAAGTTGACAGTAGTGGAAAATTAAAAGATACAAATTGACTATCAACTCTTAAAAATGCTGCTGACATAGTTTGGTTTCAATAAAGGTTAGTTATCTGTTGATCATTTAGAGAGAGTACGAGAAGAAAGGGCGATAACCTTGAACGGGTTATGCGCCACACAATATTCAGCCTTATTCCAACACACCATGTGGTGTTTCGATGCCAGTTTTTTTCAGTACACTGATCTTGAGAGTTAAATTTACGGACAACCCTCATAGTGAAGATGTATTATTTTTCACACCCATTACCTGGAAGGATGACATGACTCCGTTGGCCAGTGAGCTCAGCTTGCCTGCGACCTTGGTCACACCTTGACGTACGCTTTCCTTAACATCATCCAAGTCTGGCGTCTGCACACCGTAGCCACCACCAGGCAACACCTCCGTGCGGTTGAAGTAGTCTGCCGACGATATACTCGACGATCCCTCAAACCGGGACAGGTTCGTTTTTCTCTCCCACTAAAAAAACATTTAACAGCTTGTGAAATTGCATTATTGCGGAGCAAAAAATTTGCTTAGGTTTGAATGTCCACAGCGGTCAGGTATTCCCCTGGACATGTAAAAATATCATGGTTTTCAGGACAGAACCATGTTTATCAACAACATTGTGTACCTTCTTCAGAGCAGTAAAAGCCTGAAACAGCACACTATTATAGTTATGTGACAGTTTTACCCTTACAACCGTGAAAGTCTTAATTCTGTAACAAACTTACGCTACTGAGAGTGTAAAATGTTGAAAGTTAACTTACAGAGGTATCGCCCGAATCAGCGAAATATTGGTCTGACGAGATCGCCTTGGCCGTTCCAAACTTCTTCTGGGCTTCTCCACTAGAAGGAGAAGGAGTGGTTTTCGGCGCACTTCGCTCACTATTCCTCGTCGCCGGTTGTCTTCTCTCGGGTTCCTCCCATTCCTTCTTCGCCGGCTTCTTCTCTTCCCAGTCTGCATCGTTTATCGATTCTCTCCAACCTTTACTCTTCGGTTCGCCCCAGCCCCCGCCGCTGCTCTCGCCCCAGCCTGAGCTACCTTTGGGTGTGTTTCTGTTGGAGATTGATTCCAACACTGATAAGCCGTCCATCTTGTTGTCGAAGAACGATTCAGTTGAAGACTCTGTCGGTGTTCTATTTCCTTTTAACCTGAAATTATTTTTTCAGTAAGAAAGATTATAAATCTAAAAAAATAAAAAACTTACATAATGTTGTCTTTAGTAAAGTGACTACCGGTACCAAATAGTGTAGCTATTAGATTTAGATGGTTTTTACTTTTTAGACACATTCTTTTAGTTTTACTGAGAAGCAAATTTTCAGTTTTTATCATAAATAAAAATTGTCATCAAGGATTGAAGTATTCAATTTGCTTTAAAATCCCCAATATACATTTTAATGGAGATAGATAATATACTGACCGCCACATAAGTAAGTTAATGATACTAGCCTATAACAAAGAATTGTTATATAAGTGAAAGGATGGATAGTGAAATAGATTGGATGAAAGGTTTTCGCTTAGGTTTAGGTTTTGTCTAGATTTTGTGAACCATGAGGTAAGCCCATGTTGCACTTTCCTTGTGAGGATAGTAGGCTCACCTGAATGGGAAAGCATCCTAGCATTTTAATGGAGATAGATAATATACTGACCGCCACATAAGTAAGTTAATGATACTAGCCTATAACAAAGAATTGTTATATAAGTGAAAGGATGGATGGTGAAATAGATTGGATGAAAGGTTAACGCTTAGGTTTAGGTTTTGTCTAGATTTTGAGAACCATGAGGTAAGCCCACGTTGCACTTTCCTTGTGAGGATAGTAGGCTTACCTGAATGGGAAAGCATCCTAGCTGGCATAAGAGACACAAAACTTTACACTATATACACGAAAACTATATGAACTATAAACACATCAACTCACGGTTTAAGCCTGATATCTTTACTAAAAATTTGAAAAGTCCTCATAAACATTGATCACTCACATAGAGGTAGAGGAGAAGGCATCAAAGAATTCGTCATAGCCCGTGTCATCATCGTCCCTGGTGTAGCGGGAGTTGGACGTCTTGACAGGAGACTCTTGCTCGATCCTCTTGATGCTTGTGAAGGCGGAGTGTGAAACTCCCCTACAACATTCCGTATCTTAACCATAAAATCATCAGGTACATCACATTTGTTAAAAATAGAACTAAAACTTTAATTTGCTCTAGGTTTGCTGTTACAAGGTGAATAATTTCAAAGTAGGAGTATACACATTTCTGGGCTTGAAGTACCAATCGATGAATTTTAGAGTAAGGGAAAATATTGTTAAAAGTACTAAAGTGTTTGTTAGTAAAGTAGGTAATAGAAAAGGGAATACAATGATAAGGGGTAATGATAAATAGTTAGAAGGACCAGAGAGGTAAAATATAGCAAAATGGAGATATTAATATAGAGAATATGAGAGAGAGAAAATAAAGACACTTATTAATGGTTAAAAGAGAACAAGACACTGTTTTATTTACATTTTAAATAACATCTGTTAAAAGTAGAGAATAATTTAATATGGGTGCAACCACATGTTGCTGAGAAAAGAGTTAGTTTTAAGTAAAACAAAGTGGATAAAATAAAATATGTTCAAGTTTACTGAGCATAAGGAAGGTAATAACATTACATTATTACATTTTTTATACCAGATTTAAATTAAATGGAAATGCAACTAAGATCAAGAGAAAGATGACCTTATAATAGATGGATGACAGTTTTTGTAATGGATGGATGGTATTAACATTGAACACACGAAACACCTACGCCGCATCAAATCTGCACACAAGCGAATGTTCATTTCCATTTAGTCTAGCCAAACAGATATACTGTACTGATGAAAAATGTATGAAAACTAATTCTTTAGAAAGACAAAATAAACTTTCTACACTACTTGGAGGACATTTTTAAAATATTCACAAACAATACGAGCCTTAAGATGTAAAATAACTCACGATCTTGTGGAAAATCCCATCCCCAGACGTTCAACTTGTTGAGCTTTTTTTGGGTCTGTTGTTTTTAATTTTTCCTCTTCTTTCTTCTGCTGCTGGCTAATATCCTGGTAAGCCAATCTCATAGAGACCATCTGAAAAGATATGATCTGTGGATAATTTTGGCATGTACCTAACATTGTCTTAAACTGTAAATGATCTCTTAAAGTCTGCTGACCTTTTTAAGTATTGAGTGATTGAGGCGGACAGGTGGCTGAGGAGAAGGAACCTAAATAACTAGAAAAAACATTTGTAAATTGAGAGCACAAACCCAATTAAGGCAACAACGGTTGTTAAGTAGGTAATGTTTTCTTCAAAATGATGGATGTCATGACGAACAACACAATCGTTGTCTGATCAACAGTTTCCATAGGACGGTAGCAGAAATGGACATTTAAGTGTAATTTTTTTATAAAATTAGATTGATGTACCTAGTTGAATTGTAGGAGTACTGTATGCGAGTGCCCGATATTTTCGGTTTGGGCTGGGACAACAATTGGCCCAAGAACAAGATTTTGATTGGGAGAAACGTTGTGCAAATCTGAAGTACTATTTAAATATGGATGTGCAAGCGGCTTGATTTTCAAGGCCAGTCAATGTTCTTTTAAACACAGAAAGTATCTGCAAAGTCCTGTAATTAACAATTCACAATTTATCGGCGATCATGTGATATATTCACTGTTTTGCTGATGATGATGTCTCCACAACAGCAGAAGATGTTATCAATTTCACAGCGATCGTAGAAGATGTTCGCAATATATCTGCAACCGCCGGAGACATTTGCAATATCTCCGCAACGTGATTGTGTAAGAAAATACAATACTTTAACTAAATGGTAACTTTTTTCAAACTATCTGGTCAATGCTGTCTCACTAACCTGGGCTTCTTGTTCATCAGGAGACTTTTCGGGCACAACTGGTGTTTTCTCTTGAGCCTTCAGCTGGTCTGCAAGCTCTGCCTCTCTCTCTATTGCAGAAAAGTCAGCTTTTACCCTCTGCGCTCCCAGACCTCTCTTGGCTCCCAACTAAAACAAAAATAAATTATAAAAACAAGTCACAAATTTATCCTTCTTCTACCAAATTTCCTTATTAAAGATTAGCTTTACTGTAGGTGGCTTGGTAAAATCTATACCTAGGACCTATTAAAATTTTGTTTACATGGCTCCGGACAAAACCAGTACAAATTTGTGTATATGCATAGAAATTTTTTTTAACAGAGGTAAATAGCTGGTCCAGTAAAATCAGCTGGAAATTGTAAATCTACCCAGCATTCTTACAGTAATAAAAAAAGGCATAATAATTGGAGTTTCTTCAGTATGCTCTCAACAAAACTACAAGGTAAATGTTAAATATTAGACAAGGGACAAGTTGGATGCTAGTGATAAGCTAAAGAAGAAGCTACAGTCAGATTTTGACGACCCAACTTCTAGTTGACTCTCCAGCAATGTTTTAAGAGACACTTTGTGGTTAGCATTACTTGATGATGAATGAATGCACCAAAAAGTAAAGAAGTAAACATGAGATAGGTTTGTACAGGCATGATGCACTTTCACAACTAACATAGAAGGGTTTAAAATGTTTTCTCTTTAAAAAAATTAAAATTCTGTTAGAATCTTCTTTAAAATGAGTTATTTTAATCATTGTTGAGATTAAACGTATAGATTGTGTTTTCTTTACCCTGTATTGTAGTTGCTAGTAGCTTGGGGAAAAGTACTCACCCTAGAAGGTGTTAAAAGTACTTTCATTAAATCTTGCAACTTCCCAGCCTTGTAGCATAAAATATATACATATTATTACTTTGTGACTGTTTTTTCTACCCTAATGTCCTTTTTTAGATCTCATTCATCATTGGACTATCTATCAATAATATATTGAACGAGCAACCTCGAATTTGAATTTTTTAAAGTGAGCAATATAACACCTCAGCAATCCTGACAATTTATCTATTTTATTAGGCTACTGAATTGATTTCTAAAATCAAAAAAACTATTCAACTCACTCCTGTTTTCTTGGCGGGCGGCTTTCTGCCCCCGATGATGGATTTCCTGTCTGCCTGAGGTTCCACGACGTTGCTGAGTGCTGCCTCCACATTAGGCCCTGCGCCCGGGGGCAGCATAGGCTTGCTGGCGGTCGTCACATTGCCATTGGTGCTACGGTTGTCTACATTTAGATTCTGCTGTAAACGAAGGACAATAAGAGAAACAGACCTGTAGTACTTAGATAGGCTTAAAACCATATGAAAAGGTAAGGATTGAGTCAATTAGGGTAGCATGTAGAGAGAGCCAGAGAAGGCTAGCAAAATCGAATGTTACACCACTAGACGCTTGTGGTACTAAATTAATCCAACAAAAATTCATCGTTGAGATGACAAAACAAAATTAGAAAAGCAACGGCAGTGAGGGAAGCCTTATTTTGCGTAAGCCTTTCCCTAGTCTAATTAACCCTATCTTTGCCTACTAAGATAGGAAAATGGAGGATTACACACCCAATACTAATTATGTGAAGCTTTGGATTATAAAAAACAAAATGAGTTACTAGGACGCATACAGAAAGTAAAACAAGAATGCAAAGCAGCGCCAATAGGAAAACATTCCCATGGCTAAACTCATTCCATAGGTAGAGGTTACCGAATAAAACAAAAGTATAAAAACTCAATTATTTACTTAAATGCATTAAAAATTAATTGATTTGTTTAGATATATTATTAGTACCATAATATTTCATGGATTGAGGTATGTTTCTTAACTACTAGTACATCAGAATACAACTTTTTTGATTGATTCAACATCGATGTTTAGTCAAATCAAAAACTTACTTGATTGTCGTAGTTAAACTGTGATTCCGTAGAATGTTCCGCAAAGAAGTCGACTTCTTCCTTCTTTTCTTCTTTGCTAGTTTGATGTTCGTGGGAAGGCTCTATATGCAACTGATGGCAACACAGGTTAGTCAATGCAAGCAAACACAACACAAAGTTTGACGATACATTGGGAGAATCAACTCATGCAGTTATTTGATTTCAGTTATCTTAGATTGATTGTTTGATTAAAATGGTTCATTTGACTGAGCAAAAACCATTTTATATTAATTATCAGCTGTTCAAAATTACATTTCATTATTTCATTTTTTCAACTAACTACGTAATTTCTTGTTCGTGTTTTGTTCTATACACAAATAATTTTGGCAAAGTAATAAAAGTAAAAGAGCAAAAGATCTATCGGTATGAAGCAGAACAACAAAGAATAAGAAGGTTAAATCATCAATAAGGGAAAGTTTTTTTATCCGACCGACATAGCCTAGGTGTTCTCTTTTTTTTCTAAAGAGGGCTCTGACACACCAGATAACATTATTAAAATATGGTATAACTACTGAGCACTTTATAATTTTCCAATCGCCAATATATGGTGAACAATGTATAACTGTTGTAACGGTTGTAAATTTTGACCAGCTCTAAGTTGATATTACAACCGTTAGTAAGCAAAAGGTGTTAGCGGCGCGGACAACAAGCTGGTTTGGGGACAAGGGTCAACCCCGATAACAGCGAGTAGCTTACGTCGCCGGCCGCTGGAGGCCGCTGAACACGGGAGTAGTCCGTGATATCACCGCTGGAGCTCGCTACTCCTGCGGCTGACAAAACCAGAGCCGCGGGCCGTCCGAAGACAGTGAAAATCAGGAATTGAGACGATCAAAGTCAAATAGTGAAGAAGCCCAACTGAAATCCCAGTTTAGTATCTCTGGTGTTGGCCCGTCTTTACTCTCAAGTCGAGAAGTGCTGTAAGTGTAATTTAGACTATTTGTGAAATAAAGCCCTTGCAGTTATATTTCAGATATTTTAGTTTATTTTATTAATTTTACTTTAGAAAGACCGGCGAGTTAGCCTGGCAAGTAGGATTTTATTTTATTTTATTAAATTGTTGTAGGTTAGAAAGACCGGCGTGTTAGCCTGGCCAGTAGGATTTTATTTTATTTTATTAAATTGTTGTAGGTTAGAAAGACCGGCGTGTTAGCCTGGCCAGTAGGGAATTATTTTGTTTTATTTAATTAATTTGACTTTAGAAAGACCGGCGAGTTAGCCTGGCAAGTAGGATTTTATTTTATTTTATTAAATTGTTGTAGGTTAGAAAGACCGGCGTGTTAGCCTGGCCAGTAGGGAATTATTTTAGTTTATTTTATTATTTTTACTTTAGAAAGACCGGCGAGTTAGCCTGGCAAGTAGGGAATTATTTTATTTATTTGAATTGTGGTAGGTTAGAAAGACCGGCGAGTTAGCCTGGCCAGTAGGTAATTAGTTTAGTTGATTTAATCATTTTTTACTTTAGAAAGACCGGCGAGTTAGCCTGGCAGTTAGGGACAGGGTGACATTTTAACATACTGCATCGGTTGATTTGATTAAGACCGGCGAATTAGCCTGGCACGAGACACGCGAGAACACCCAGCGTTGGCAATTGTTTTAAAGGTGATCATTAAAGCGATGATGAGTGTGATGACACTGTTGACCCCCTGTGGTGAGGTGTCACTCTGAGCTTTAACAGACAATAAAGACGTTTTATTCAAAATTGAGTAGCGGAAGGACCTTGGAGGTTCCCAGCTCGACTCGAGCGATTCCGAGCATTTTATTTGTAAGGCGATACGGTAGAGGAGCGTAGTACGGGAGAGGCCTCAGATAGGAAGGCCGCGACCCCGGCGCGCCGTAGCACCTTACACTGTGCAACCATAAGTACTGTGTCTCAAAAACTATTACTATTAGATTTAGAGAAAACTTTTAATCATAGGAACTTTAACTATTTTTTTTATCCCGTTTGAGTCAAGGTACTATCATGGATAAAACATACTAGGCCTGCCTTAGTAGATTTGTCATCCTTATGGACCAGCTGAAAACAATTTTATAGTTACTTCCGTCCAATTCCGCTAAGATTGTGTTTTTGTTTACAATTAGTTTTTTGTTATTTCAGATATAAAACCTCATTTAACCCAGTAAAACGATCTATTCATAAACAATAACTCATCCCCTACCTAACCTACTAAAGCACAGAACATTGAAATTAACCATATACAAAAGTAGAAATAAAGTTTCATCAACACTAGCGTCCAGTGTCACCAACATGAACTAGACACGAAAACGAGCTTCAAATTTTACAATGCGATGAGAAGTCTACTTGTGTTGGTTAGTCTATGGCACTACTTTGTTTTATGCAGAAGGAGTAAATAAATAAACACAAAACTACACAACCTACCAAAAGGGTAATCAAGGTTATGCATAAGCAAGTTCAAAAACAAATCACACTACAGCTGTAATATACAAAGCTAAATATAACTCACTTTTCAAGCAAAAGCAAAGAAATAAAATGATGTTTGTGGAACTGTTTATGTGATTTTTCTATTGTAACAAATAAAAAATATACAACAAAAAGTCTTAAAAATTTTAATGACAGTTTTTCTTTAGAAAATTTTACAGAAAATCACTGTAATTCTTTAAAGTTTTATAAAAGTCAATTGAAATGTTATTTTATTATAACTTTAACAAATGTAGGTATTGTGGTTAAATTTCACAATTACTGAATACAAAATTTTCACCTTCTATTTTCAAAATCCCACAGCCTATGTAACGGTGATTTAGTTTAAGTGTAGATTAGGAATAACTTGCATAAAAGTTGTTTAGTCTAAGAGGATGAGTCGTTTTATCCCTCCAACCTAACGTAACCTAGCCAAAAAATGTTATCAAATTTATTTTAGACCTACTTCATTTAAAAGTTAGTTATTTAAATTGTAAACTATATTTTTAATAATCAATCAAAATTATCTTTTTACTTTTTGAAGCAAAACAACTGATAAAATGTTCAATAAACGATTAACTTCACTTGGGTCAATCTAATCAAGTGCTAAAAAGTAGGGTATGTTTGAGCACACAGAAAAATCAAGCGAGAAGCTAGCAAACTAGCAAAAGCTAGCGAGCTAGCAAAGCTCACCGATGCTCGTCCAAGAAGGAAACTCACTTCTCGAGGACTGATTTCCAGCTACAACATCCAATTACGTTATTCTTACAGAAACGCATACCACATTTAACACTGTTGGCAATGAGTGAATTTGGTACTTTGGTATTATATTGACCTCAACCATTAAAGGTTAAGTTTTAAAGTTATTCGTACTTATTTAAGACTGAAAGTTATCAAAAGAGTACAAAAGTAGGAAGTGCTACAAAATAATTTCATACGTTGTTCTTTCATGCATAGTTTTGATTTTTGCAACAACACTTTGTCCTGTAAAAATCAAACTGTCCATATAATACCAAAGTACTGCGCAAATCTTTATATAAACATGCATCTACAAAAAAAAAAAGAAAAAGCACTATACAAAAATTTATATCTCCAACAGTAGAACCTTGACAACATGCCACCCTTAATAACGAGCCCTTATCAAATCCCCCCGAATTTGTTCACCCCTAATTTACAAGTACTCGCAAACCTCGATATGCAATCTTATTTATGATTCTCATGAGAGTCTTGTTATCGAGCTTCTACTGTACTAGGTTTACACCTACAACATGCCGTTTTCAAAACAATCGCCAGCTTTAAAATTGGACACCTTGAGATTAAAAAATTAAAATATTTTTGTCTTATTCAACTAAGCCTATATTTTAATAGGCTACAGGGCTTTTTTTGTGTGTTACGGTACACTTGTAGGACTTAAACTTAGGTGACGTATTCTCTTTGAAATAGTTGGTGAATTTGTAAATGTAGACACTACCAATTTGACATAAACGTTTAAAAGTTTAAATTATTTTTAATATTTATTATGGATAAATCCCATACCTGTAAATAACACCGGGGCCAAGGATTATTTGTTGCAAAGGTACAAAATTCTTTATAGAATACGGAAAAAATCCAAGAAATCCAGATTCCCAGTTGCCCCTAACTTATTACTAGCTTAACCAGTAATTCCGTTAAAACAAGATGAAAACTTGTTAAAATTATATAACACTAACCTTGGTGCCATGTATTCTCATGGCATGAACAGCTGCGGTGTGCAACTTTTCCCGGTAAAGCTGTGCAGCCCGAGAATTGTACTTCTGCTGAGCATCCGTGGTTACGCAGTTGTGTTGACGGAAGAAAGATTCCTAAAATGTAAACAAAATGTATTAGGCTACTAAGATAGAAATAGACTAGGCCCTATGTAAAAATTATTTTTATAAGCTTAAGCCAACCTACTCAAAAAATGTATAGCATCGAAAAATACAAAAATCTTTGTGACAACCATGATTTTTAGCATATTTAAACAGTAAGTTATCTGGGAATCTGATTCCTACAATTGAAAATAAATAATATCAGTAGGTAAATAAAGCAGGTTTCTTCAAAACACAGAAACAATTTTCAATACCGTAGGTACATGTTAAGTTAAATTACATACGAAATTGGTATTTAAAAACCGGTCTGATAAATATTTCACTAGGTTACTTACAGCATTTGCGTTTCCACCCAACTGCATTTGTCTCAACTGAAGCCATGTCCAGTTGGTATCGAGCTGCGTTGACCGCACAAACGTCAGGTGAACACCAAGACTACGATGGACAGCAGAACAATCGATGCAGATAAAAACTCCATACGTTACACTTGACCATGTTGGTAGCTTGGCATTGCAGTCAAAACATGACTGTAAACATATAAATATTTATTGATACAAGTCTCAACACATATTAAATCTAATTCTGAAGTTAACTTAGGCTACAGTGTTAACCTTATGGAGGTCTTTGCCCAAATTGTCTAGAAACTATCGTTTACTCGTTTGGGCTATTGTTTGTAGGCTAAGTCATTATATTGTGTGGTTAATGATTATTTACAGTGTGATAAATTGTAGCCTAGGCCAAAATACTAGATATAAGTTACCTAGGCCGACGTAACCTACTGATACTCTAAGTTACCATCAACTGTATTTCTTTATTACTAAAGACATTTTTAAGATCATTCCCTCAATGAATTTATGTAGCAGTACACAAAACTGGCCTTAATACCCACAATTACATAATTTACATTTTGTCAATGTAGGCCTATTAATACAAGTTAACCACTTTTCATAATGTAAGTTAGGCCTGAGTTACCGCATCTAATTTAGCAAGTTAAGTAAAAAAAAAAACGATTTAGGCCTACGGTTAAATAGAATTGTCAATTACTTCTATGGACAGCAACAACAACAAAATTGTTGTAGCCTAACAATTTAGTAGAGTTGGGAATCGATAGTGGATGTAGCGAAAATATCGATGTTTTGAAGCCAACAGGCGATGTTTTTTCCATCGATAGTTGTCCTCTGATATATTTTTAGTATGGATATTTTACTCTGATATTGGGTAGCCTAATTATGTCGACCTCCAGTGAACGCTCTAAAAAGATATATATTTTGATATCTCTGTTCGTTTTATAGCGCTGATTCCAAAAATGATAGGCTAGGCCTAGATATAGTTTTATAGCAGTACAAATAGTTTCCTAGTCTAGGCTTATTATAAAGTAATTTAGCATTTGGTCGATGTCTTACTTAAAATCAATGTTTTTCTCCGATATTTATCAACATTTTAACTTACCGGTAGATATTTTTTACATCAATGTTTAAAGGCCGATAAGTTAGGCCTATGACTATTGATACTAGCCTAATATCGATGTTACTGATTCGATGTCGCAATAGGTACTAAGTTATTTTCTTGATTTATCTAGCCGGTAAAAATTCAGTTTCCACAACTCACCTAAAACGCACTTCCTGAAGTGTGAAACTGTGTATAAAGTGTATTAAACGATGTTTTGGACTTGACTGACGGGCGGAAAAGTCATTAAAACCATAAAAATATGACCGAAAATATTAATATCGTAATTTACAAAATAAATATTTTCTGTTACATTTATGGTTTTTGATCCCTTTTCTGCCCCTCCGTAACGTCCAAAACGTCATTCAATACCCTTTTTACACAGTTTCACACTTCAGGAAGTACGTTTTATGTGAGCTCCGGGACACAACAACACCAACGCAATCGATGCCTAAGAATCGATGACGCAATCAATGCCTTCTAAGAGTCAATGACGCAATCAACGCTGTAGAGGGTAAAGCTTGCCGGCAGCTTTGAAAAAATGGTGGATGCACTTTCCCGGCACTTTCCCGGCTCTTCACCGTGCTTTACCATAAACAAAACAATGTCAGTCCGCGATCTACGCACACTGTAAAAAAACTTCACTGCACAAGAGTCGCACTGAGGTTCGTTAATGTCAGCCATATCGGAACAAACTACCAAAACTGGCAAAAACTGACCGAATGAAGACGAAGCACTAAAGGTAAATACCCAGGACACCGTGATTAACCATAAACAAGACAATGTCAGTCCGCGATCTACGCACACAGTCCAAAAACTTCACTTCACAAGAATCGCACTGAGGTTCGATTACGTCAGCCATCTCGGAACAAACTACTAAAACTGGCGAAAACGCCGAAAACTGACCAAACGAAGACGAAGCACTACAGGTGATTACCCCAGGAATCACCCGCAAAACCCCCAGGAATCACCCGCAAAACCCCCAGGATTCACCAGCAATCCCCTCCAAAATAGCTATGTGATCCCGCAAACTCCATATTAGTACACCAAATTGCAGCGCAAAAACTTTTACCATGTAGCACAACCGTCCCGAACCACTTAGCAGAAGTGACAAGCGCTGGTTGAAAGTGAAACTATACAGCAGAACCACGGCCGCCTTTACGGCCGCCATGGCAGAACTGTTGTTAAGTAACTAAAGTTATGCAGACTTCCTGTAATAGTATTCATATTTGTATTTTGTATTGAAACTATTCTAAACTAACCAACCCTAACCAAACTTGCTGTATAAACTCATTATACAAGAAATATGAAAAGACATGTGGTGAAGGGGGCCGGACATTATGCGGGTTCTTGGCTGCATTAAGTCCTTTGAAGGTAGGTTAGATTAGTGAAGTTAAAGTATAGGTTATAGTTGACCGGGCTGTTTATTTATGTAAAATCTACAACGTTTTATCACTATTGGAACATTGGCTTAAACAACGGTACCATTTCAAAAATGCAAGCATTTTTGAAATCGTAGCCTCGTTGTTTAAGCCAATGTTCCAATAGTGATAAAACGTTGTAGATTTTACATAAATAAACAACCCGGCCAACTATAACCTATACTTTACCTTACTAATCTAACCTAACTTCAAAACACTTAATGCAGCCTCGAACCCGCATAATCCCCGTCTCCCCTTCCCCACATGCCTAAATAAAGTATTTCCGAGGTTATTTTACATAGTCTACAACCCAGTGGTATGATGAGAATTATTACTCTTTGCCTTGCTGACTCATAACCAGTGGCCAATAGCGAAGCGTCAACAACCCAAGTGACGTATCATTGGCCAATAGCGACGCGACAACAAACCTAGTGACGTGGCATTGCATTTATCCCTGATATGTGCAAAAAATCCCTAAAATGGGGATATTATCCCCAGTAATTTTGATTTTTATCCCGTTTTAGGTACTTTATCCCGCATATAATTAAAAAAAATTCCCATATTCGTTGTACAAATTACCCATCTTCCCATGAAATTACCCTTTTGTCTCGATGTTTAAGCGACTTTTTCCCCCCACCCAAAACCCCGGATTCCCACTCTGTCCCCTAGTGAGTAGGAATAATGGCTGATAACAAAAACCCTGTTGTCTCGATGTTTTAGCGAGTTTAATTATTTTAGCGAGTAAGGAAGCCTCGGCGACAAAAAAGTTATTCAAGCGAGTTGTAGTATTGATGTCAAAGAACAGTTTAAGAACGTTTTTAAGTGCGTTTTAGGTGAGTTGTGGAAACTGAACAATAACCCAAAAACGGCTGCACTTTACTTTACGTCCTACACTCATTCGAATAAAAAATATCGATTATTCGATTGTTTCATTCGATATATCGTTTGGTTAGTTAGGTTAGGTTAACCTTACCTAACTAACCAAACGATATAACTTATCGAATAATCGATAACTTATATCGGTCGATATTTTCATTCGCATGAGTGTAGGACGTAAAGTGCAGCCTCAAAAACAACCGTATGAAAATATCAAATATTTTTATTCAATTGTTCCATACGATAATTTCATTCGGTTGTTTTTGACAACAGATAGGCCTATGGAAGTCTACCCAAAATCTACAATCTGACATGGTAGACCAGACCTAACCCACATGACATGAGTTAACATGGAATTTTGTATTCTAAGCAGTGATGGTTAGGTTATTATATTATTTCTATTGGATGTTGTGTTATCGTGTTTTATTTTATTTACAAACTAGGCCTAATTATTGAATCGTTTGATTGAAATCGAAATTCAAATACGGTAATCGAGTTAAAACTGCCCAGCTGAGAGTGAATGATGTCAAGAGACAAGTAGGCTACACGTCAGCACTGGGAATATTAGGAACATTTAAGATTAAACACTTACCCGAATGTTATTAACAATAAATATCTTTAAAACTTACCTTATTTGTGGGAATAGCCCTTAACTTCTTGAAAATCAACTGAATATCATTATTGTTAGGTGATTCGTCAGACATTTTTATCTTGTTGATTGTCTGAGTCTATCCCTGTCACCATTTGACATGTGCCTGTTTGATCATTGGGATTGGAAGGAAATGTCAATGCCATTGCCAACTAGTGTGTTGCGCATGTAGAAAAGCAAGTATACTATATCCAGCCTTTTACCATAGATTAAACATACTGCTCAAGGAGTATGTTTATTAATCTATACTTTTACTTTATGTACATCAATCCACGGCCAACTCAATCAGCACAAAACATAGTTAATCATTGACTATATATCTTCTCGTTGGGGAGATATATAATCAATGGTCGATAAAAAACGCTACAATGTCATGACGATATATCCAGCGGATGTAAGTGAACATATTGACATAGCTAACCTAATGTTTAATCAATTTATAATTTTCACGTTGAGTCACCTCCCCACAAACCACAAAAGTTTCCACCAAGTACTAAGTTATAAAGGCTCTTGCCGAACCAAGACCTGCTGGATGAGGATTCAAGTATAGTATACACCTTTAGTAGAATTCTCATCCTCATGGAACAGATGAAGTTGGGTATAAAACATGTTTTATCTATGGCTGAAGCCAATTTTATCGTTAGTTTTGTCCGGTGCACTTAAGAGGTGGCATTTTATTTTTTTCTCTTGTAATTTATGCCTTTTAAAACTGCGTTTAACCAAATAAAATGATATAATCATAAACAATATCTCATCCTCTAGTTATATAACCAAACAGTAAAGCACAAGCCATGAAATTCACTCTAAAATAATAGAAACAAAATTTTGTCAACTCTAGCCACCAGTATCATCACCGGACATGAACTAGACACGAAAAACCAGCTTCAAAATTTAGAATGGGATGGGAAGTCGAAGTCTACTTTTGTTGGTCAGTCTATGCATGTGCCCTACGATGGCATCCATTGATAGCAACCCTACAGCATCCCGGAAAGGGAATACACATATTCACGCTAAATGGATACCGTAAACGAAACACTTGGACTTGGACGAAACACACTACATCTCTTACTACTTGCAAAAGGGGTACAGTACCTAATTGGATTGGAAGTTCTGCCACAGAATGATAATAAAATAATTTATAAATAAAAATACTTTTTAAAAATGCCACGTTTTTAAACACACTCAAAAGTATAAAATAATTTATAAAATGTTTAGAGAATAAATACTTGTAAGATTTAAAACGAAAAACGTGGGGCGCATGCTGATTTACAATTAACTTCACCTATTGAACTATTATGATCTATTGCATGCACCCCACGTTTTTCGTTTTAAATCTTACAAGTATTTATTCTTTCAACATTTTATAAATTATTTTATACTTTTTAGTGCGTTTAAAAACGTGGCATTTTTAAAAAGTATTTTTATTTATAAATTATTATCTAGTTTTTAGTCTTAAATGTGTAATATGTTAAATCTATTTTATATAGCCTCTTAATACATAAAACCCAAAACCTTATTATCTGTAATCAGATGTTTTATCGTTACTTTGAAATGATTGTTTTATATTTTTAGAATATCTCGGGAGCAGAACCTGTACCGCTTAACCTCTGCTCTTCTAACTGTAAAATTTAAGTATTTACAGCTGACTTAAAGGGGCGTAGCCCAAGGGAAATATGAAAATTGAATGATATAATATTGCATTGTCTTCCATTTGTAAGCTATGTTTCAAGTTTCAAGTCTCTAGCTCATCGGGAACTTCGTTTAAAATTGATATCAAACTTTGTAGGAAAGCGAATGAGCTAATAAAAACAAACCCATGGGGCGTAGTTCAAGGGAGATATGAATATTAAATGATATAATATTGCATTGTCGTCCATTTATGAGCTATGTTTCAAATTTCAAGTCTTCTAGCTCATCGGGAAGTATCAAAATTTGCAAGAAAGCGATTTAATAAAAACAAGCCCATGGGGCATAGCCCAAGGGAAATATGAAAATTAAATGATATAATATTGCATTGTCTTCCATTTGTGAGCTATGTTTCAAGTTTCAAGTCTCTAGCTTGTCGGGAAGTTAGTATAAAATTGATTTCAAAATTTGTACCGGACAAGAAAGCGAGCTAATAAAAACGTTTTAATAATAATCTTCAATCTGACTAATTTAACAACTATAAAAATTTATAGGAATATGGGTCACGGGTAGAAATGTAAGAATAGGGGGACAATTAAGGAATCTGAAAAAATAAACAGAATTGGTTTTAATTATTTTTTGCACAATTGTTTTTTTTATCGTTTCAAATAGTCAATGAAAGCGTCTCTTGGTATGTTAACATTTGCAATTGATTTCATTCTTTTCTTTCCTTCTGCCTGTTTCTGTAACAGCTTCATTTTTCTTGTTCTATCTCCACCATACTGAAAAAATATAAATTTTAATAGTTTATTATAAATTGTATGACCATTCTCATAGGTCTATATCTTTTTAGATAATCGTTTGCAGTGGTTGTTCCCAGGGCGAAGAGTCTACATAGGTGTTCATCATCCCTCTCCATTGAACCCTGAAAAAATAAATCTTAACATACATTTAAAAGTGTGATTGTCAGTTAAAATAAAAAAAAGTTTCAATCTGGCTTGCTTATGACGATTAACAGGTGAAATCGGAGGATTTGGACATAGTTCTCTGGAGGTGTTCAACAAATGGCTTTAGAAAGTCATAAAATTTCCCCAGGGGAGGACCTAGAGGGTGTTTCATACCCTCCTAAACCCCACGGTAGCGCCCCCTTCTTGACAAGGTCCTAGAACCTTGTCCTAGAGAGGAATCTTGTTTATGGGGAGACCGTTCCCTTTCAGCTCTTGTATATTGTGCGGGAAATATACTTGTGACAAGCAAGGAACAGCCTGAGTGGAGAGCACTATGCAGAAATTTTTATCACATAGAGCACAAAGGTCTTCCTCGGCCGTGAGCGTTGTAGTACATAAGGGCGAGGGGGTGGTGTTGGATATTACCTTAGACAATAGCGGCTAGTGCTAGACTCTTAAGTTTACCATTGGATGTTTCCTCAGTAACTTACTTCTTTGTGGTGATGTTAATATTTTGTCTGATGAACATGGATTTTTGTAGCTCAAAAGATTAATAAACAGGCAGCAGTGTTCTCAAGACCAGCCTTAAAAAAGTGGAGAGCTCTTTGAACAAAATGTATAAAAATAAATGTTTCTAGTACTTACAAGCTTAGCAGTGACATCTTTTTTAAAAGCTTTAATGGTTTCTCTTGCGATGATTTTTCCTCCAACGGCTGCCTGAATGGCCACCTTGAAATGCAAAAAAAAAATTACAACTACCCAGTAAGCACAAGCACGTGAATTTCACGTGATAATCACGATATTAGTTTCTGCCAAGCAAGATTAAATTTTGAAGAAATATTGTATGGTGGCATCCATGAAAGCCTTCTATCAATATTTAATTATTTTACAATTTCCTATGTACCAACAGTCAGGGAAAAGAGAAAAGTTAAATGTTATCAAAAGTAAATTACAATCAAAAACATGCTCTGAACTAACAACCTAATGTTGAAGCAACCCTTATTGTACACAGTAAACTGTAGTTTTTTTATGTTTGTAATACATAGTCTATTACAGTGTGAAAAGCAAAAGTGAAAAAAGTAACTTCAATAATAGCACACTCTTTGAGAGTCTTTCATCTGAATTTCCATTTAGCAAAATTCTTCATGGCTCATTTAGCCAAGATGTCTACTAAATTACACAGTCTACTAACACTACTATACCATCTTCTCTTACCTCCACCATTTGTCTGGGTATAAGCTTCACCAATTTTTCACATAGTCTCTTTCCCATAGACTCTACTTTGCTCTTGTGCACCACTGATGAAAGAGAGTCCACGGGTTTTCCGTTCACTCTAATTTCAAGCTAGAAAAAAATTTTTGTTATGAGGCATATTTATCATTTTATTGATACTTAATTACTTTTAAATGAAATGGTGACCATAAAAGTAGGTATTTTAAGCCAAGTATGAATGGAGATGACGTAGGATGAGTGGCGCAATCTTGTAGTCTTGTTAGTGATTTGTGAAAATAAAGCCAATCATTTTAATATGGCCTATGAACAAAATATTACCCATTACTAATTTTTTTTAGACAAATATTAATATAATATAGTATAAGCAGAATATGAATGAAGGGTGTACCTATATAAAATGGGATTAGATGATCTGTTTCCTTTAGACCACTTAAAAATAGCTGGGTGGTTAGTACTTGCCTGGTTAATTAAAAGGGTGCCACTTCGATCCTTAAAAAATCGGTACCTTTTTGGTGGTTCAAAACTTTGCCCTACTGTTCTTGATTATTGAATTTTAAATAAATGATCCTGACTAATTAAACATCTGATCTTAGTCATTAAAAACAAAGATGACCTCTTTCAATTCTTTACTCTCCTTGACTTCATATACCACTTAAAATATGCACCTAGATGTGTGTTGTCTCAAACAATTTTTTTTTGTTTTTATAATTTATTTATAGTAAAATCAAGGACTGCTGTGGACTTAGGACAGTATCCAACTGGCAACCTTTGACATAGTACACGCTACCTCTAAGAGGTCAAATCTGTATTAAGATCAGCTGATAGTAATTTTGAAGTTTATCAGCTGACTTTAATCCTCAACTATACCATGGATAAAACCATAGACAAATAGAATAGATACAGATCGTCAGCTGTGCTGCGGTTAGCACAAGTTCCGGCGTCCACCGCTAGGTTTAACTTGTAGTTACGGCGCACACCGCTGCATGCGCTGTGTGCGCCGTAACTACACGGCAAACCTAGCGGTGGGCGCCGGAACCTTCCTTTGACAGTTTATATTCATTCTATTTGTCTATGATAAAACATACTCCTTAGTAGATTTCCCATCCTTATGGAACAGCTGAAGCCAATTTTATTGTTAGTTCTGTCCAGTGTACTGTAGATGTTGTGCTTTGTTTACAATTTGTTTCTATCATTTTAGGGTTAGTTTCTCTTGATTTGTGCCTCACTGTTTGGTATAGCTAGTGGACAAGTTATTGTTTATGATTAGATAGTTTTATTTGGTTAAACGAGGTTTTAAATTACTGAAATAGCAAGAAACGAATTGTAAACAAAACACAACTCACCGGACAGAGCTAACAGTAAAATTGGCTTCAGCTGTTCCATAAGGATGGGAAATCTACTAAGGGGTATGTTTTATCTATGACTACCTATACTCACTTTGACCAAATTTCCAGGCTTATAGCCATGATCTTCATAGTCAAAACTAGCGTAACCAGATGTCATAGACTTAATAGTATCGTGGAAGTCGACGATGATTTCATTCAACGGAAGGACGAACTGAAGCATCACTCGGTTATTGTCGATCGTTTTTAAGTCTTTCTGGACGCCTCTTCTGTCGATGCATTCAGGAATAATTTTGGCGACATACTCGACTGAAATGGATAAAATTAATTTGAGTGTACATTGGATTTTTATTGTTATTCATCATTAAAATTTTGTTTGTACTGTATTCGGAAGTTCTATCAGTATTTTGATCCTATTTTGGAGATATTTTGGCTTTACCTCGAGTTTACAGTAACTAGAAGCTGTTTAATTACTTAATTAAAAAAAATTCCCTTAGAGAAAGGCAAGACTACGCTAAACGCTTTAAATTTTTTGATAAAACTAAGGTTGTGACGGTATTTAAATTTTGTAGCGAAAGACTTACATTATTTTATCAATATTCACACAAACTGGAAGCGGAACTTTATTCCGAGGATTGTGTGAGAGATGATATGGATTTTGAGATTTGACCTATCACACAAGAAGTAAGGTACAGAGGAAACATTCGAAGGTACACTTAAGCGGTGTCTAGGGAAAAATCCAACCCCCCCTCACCCTTATGTACTACAACCCTGGCGGTAGAGGAAGACTCTGTGCCCTGTACGATACGAATTTCCGCAAAGTGCTCGCCACTTAATTTTTTCCTTGCTTCCCACATATACACATGTATTATACATGTATTTCCCACATAACATCGCACGTTCGTCCCATAAGTAAGATTGCTCGGTACCTTTTTTCTCAGTGCTTAACAACAGATTAAAGCACTCTGAGTAGTGTGAATTTATAATTCTACATTTATTTTAGGGTCCCACCAATCCCACCTTATTACCCAATCTTATATCCCAGAAGTCTCATATATTTGAAATATGAGATATTTAATTCATCTTTCTTTGTGAGTATAATAGTAGGTAGGGCCTATATAAAATGTTTTAATAGGCCTACAGTTTATCATTTAGCAAAAATTTTTTTGATGTTAGTATTTACTTACTTGGAGTAATAATGGTTCCCAAAACCATAGGTTCAGAGATTTCGTCAATGTCCTCACGTTCTGGGATTTTTGATGGATCAGAAATAAGTACTTCATCACCTCTATATTCTGCAATAGCTTTGTTGGTTGCAAGTTTTACTGAAAAATAGACACGTTGATGAGTTTTACTGAGTAGGTTGTAAATACAGTAATAACAATATTTAGCGGGTAAGTAAGTGTGCAGTATCCAACATTAACTACCTATATAGTGCACATGGACAATTGTATGAGAGTCAATATCGATTTTGGGATGATTATTATTCTGATTACTCACCCTTGTAAGGTACACTAGGTGCTGTCATGACTGCCTCAGCTCCATACTCCTGCTCTAGTCTCTGGTTGAACACCTCCAGATGCAACAGTCCCAGGAAGCCTACCCTCCATCCTTGACCTAGGACTACATTACTGACCATGTCTACTGATTGTGATGTGATTACTCACCCTTGTAAGGTACACTAGGTGCTGTCATGACTGCCTCAGCTCAGGCCCGTTTTTGACCATGTCAGCGCCCTAGGCACAACTAATAGTAGCGCCCCTTTGCAATATATAACAGGGTGACCACCAACCGGGAAATCCGGGAACTAAGCGTGAATTTTTTGAACTAGGAATTATGTGTTAATTTTCTATTTCTACCTGGAATTGTCAATTTACAACAGTGACGTTTCCGTGACCACGGGAGACGGGAGGCGATAATATGTCTCCACAAGGCCTCGAGAGATGATCAGAACTTTGCCGCGATCGCATGCGATGATAATAATATCTAAACGACCGCGGGATATGATCATGATTTTACCGCGATCGCGCAATACGATAATGAGATCCACAGAGCCGTGAAGGATAATCAGAATATTGCCGCGATCGCATGATACGATGATAATGTCTAAACGACCATGGGATATGATCATGATTTTACCGCGATCGCGCGAGACTATGGTAATGACTAAATGACCGCGGGATATGATCTTGGTCCACAAAACCACGGAAAACAGTCAGAAATTTGCCACGACCGCGGAAGACGATAATGATATCCACATAACTGCGGGGTATTATTAACATTTTGCCGTAATCGCGGGAGACAATTACGATGTCTTCACGACAGCGGGAGACGATTACGATGTCTTCACGACCGCGGGAGACGATTACGATGTCTTCACGATCGCGCGGAGACGATTACGATGTCTTCACGATCGCGGGAGACGATTACGATGTCTTCACGACCGAGGGAGACGATTATATTATGTCTTCACGAGAGCGGGGGACGATTGCGATGTCTACAGGATCGCGGGAGTTACAATAATGATGTCTACTCTACACGGCTGCGAGGAATGATCAGAATTTTACCGCAATCGCGTAAGACGATGATAATGTCTACTCAATCACGGGAAAGATCAGAAATTTGCCTCATTCGTGAAAGACGATGATGATCTCCAAACAACCGCGGGAGATGATTACCATTTGCCGCAATGGCGGGAGAGGATGACAATGCCTCACGACCACGGGAGGCGATGATGTCTTCACGGCTGTGAGGGATTATCAGAATTTTATCGTGATCACGCAAGAAGATGATAATGTCCACACGACCCCGGGAAAAGCTTACAATTTTGCCTCATTCGCGGTAGACGGTGATAATCTCATCACGACCGCGGGATGTGTTCATATATTGCCGTGATCAAGGAAGACGATAATCATGTCCACACATCCGCTGGAAATAGTCAGAACTTTGACGCGATCGCGGGAGACGGACGATGATGACGTATATACAACCGCGGTAAATAATTAACATCTTGCCGCAATTGTGGGAGACTGTTAAGGTGTCTTCACGGCCGCAAGGGATTATCAGTTTACCGCAATCGCATGCAAAAACGGCCACAATTTTTTTTCTTTTTTCCAATTTTTTGGCGCCCCTCAAAAAAGCCAATTGCCTCGCGCCCTAGGCACGTGCCTACCTTGCCTATTCGGTAAATCGGCCCTGCCTCAGCTCCATACTCCTGCTCTAGTCTCTGGTTGAACACCTCCAGATGCAACAGTCCCAGGAAGCCTACCCTCCATCCTTGACCTAGGACTACATTACTGACCATGTCTACTGATTGTGATGTGATTACTCACCCTTGTAAGGTACACTAGGTGCTGTCATGACTGCCTCAGCTCCATACTCCTGCTCTAGTCTCTGGTTGAACACCTCCAGATGCAACAGTCCCAGGAAGCCTACCCTCCATCCTTGACCTAGGACTGGACTGAAATTATGCAAATAGATTATTTAGATATGTTTACAATCAAATTATTTTATTTTCTCCGCCTTTACATAGCACATATTTGTAACATTTTACATTTTATTGGATACCTCTACATCGTCGATGTCGCCCCCGTCTTGACGTATGCGTGTGTCACAAATATTGAAAGCTTCTGAATGATGAATCACTTTTCTATTACAAGTCCAAAGAAATAAAATAATACAACTGTACACCCCAAAAGGAAAACTTAACAACCAAAACATTATCCAGGTCCAAGGTTATAGCCATGAGCTTGATCAACAATTTTCTGTGGGTCAGGGCAACAAGTTGTATAAAATAATTTACAGAACACTCGCAACACATAACCAAACACTAGGCTAAATGAACCTCCATGAACCAACGGGAATAAATGTTAAATTTTTACTAACCTGCTCTCCTGGGTTAGAGACACTGCAGGATCGTTGAGTGCCAATTTCTCTATCGCATTTCTCATATCAAGGTATTCCGACTGGTCCATGGGGTAGACTCCGGCGAAGACCATGGGTCTGGCGGGGGTGAAGCCCATCAGAGGTTCCACGGAGGTAGACGAGTGATGTATAGTGTCTCCTATGTGAGCCTCCGCCACGGTGCGCATGTTGCAGAACATCCATCCCACCTGGCCTCCTACACTGGCATACCACAGGGGTCAGTTCTCAGAGTGACGTTCTTCATATTTGTGAAATATTATTTGCTTAGATTTTGCTGTCAATGTTGTTTGATATATGGTTATGATTAAATTTCTACATTGAAATAAATATTGCAAGTACAGGAGTATGGAGTAAAATTTAGGATGTAGATGAGGTGTAGGCATAAATTTAGAGAAGTTTTATATCCTTTGTCAATTGTACTTGCCCTTTAGGCGTCACTAATTTATTATTTAGCTATAGTAAAACTGGCTTTGATAAGTAAAAAGATTTGGCTGCTGGTACTCCAGTGGTTTCTTTTTCTATAAAACTAGATATTTGGAACTCTCAATGTATGTTGCAAACAGAAACAACTCTAAAATACACTAGCCCTCACATTAAGTGAATAAATGGTAGCAGAAAAAGGCTAAAATTTACCGACTACTTGGTTATAGGGCTAGTGTCCTTCGATAAATGTGCAAGACATTAAAGTTAGAAAAACAAATTTTGTTATAAGTTTCACCAATGTAAGAATCTATTGACTTTCAATTCAATTCAATTCAAATAAACTTTATTTGTAAGTAGCATATACATATACATAAATAACTAGTGTACCTGTTGCTCGAATTCGAGCAATTGCGAAGCATTACAGGCGACTCAAAGATTATGGAAATACTCACGAACTACACAACAGTTAGATATAATCAATATCTTTTGTAAATATCTTATCTTTTTTCAAAAAGCTTATCTTGTTTTTTAGTGTTTTCTACAAATTGTTCCCTCTCGTAGCCGCATTAGGTTGTCTATGACAACGATTATAAATGAAAAAAAAATTATTTCTATTTTTTCTTCTTGGTTGTGTTCTATGACTTTTTCTATGTTTACATTGTTTGCAAATTGATTATTTTGATGATTGCTCAAGAAATGTAGAACAGTGTTAATTCAGTTTTATTTTTAGCCTATATCAAATTGGCCAGGATTTCTCGCTCTTTTCCATTGTAATAATTACACCAACCCAAGTTTCGTCTACAGATGCAATATTAAACAAATATCACCTACGTACAATCACCAAGAAGTGGTAAAAAAGGCAGAAACCAACCCATACAGTAGATATAAGTTAACTCCAAAAGGAATAATTTTAAGAGTTACTGTGATATTAGGATTTTCCACTGATTTGGTAATAGAACATTATATTGCAAAACATGAATCGATGCAGGAGAAAATCCAATTTAAAATCAGAAAAACCCATTGCAAATAGGCTACTGTACTTCATTTTGACAAATTCAATAAATCACAATTTAAATATTAACAGCTGTTTCATTAAAAAGTAATGTAGAATTATGCATATGGTCGTAATGTAAACAAATCTGAAGAGGCAACTTTAAAGGCTTCTGGGGTAGAGCCCCAAGGGAATTTACCTCGTTCCTCTTTTGATGGCTCATCTACAGACCAAGACCTTTCTTTAGATACCCCTACAAAGTTTTTACGCCCAGCCGTTCTCTCAAATTAGCTATGACAAAAACCCTGTTTTCCTCCATAAGAATAACATGGGATAGGAATTTAAAGGCCACTGGGGCAGAGCCCCAAGGGAATTCACCATGTTTCTCTTTTGATGGCTCATCTACAGACCAAGACCTTTCTTTAGACACCTCTACCGAGTTTCTACACCCAGCCGTTCTCTCAAAATAGCTATGACAAAGAAAAACTGTTTCAAATTAATATATACCCTAGTAGCACAAATATATATTAAATACATATCAATAAATATATTTAAAATCTATTTTATATATCTCAAGTGTGTATTAATGTCAATTTTATATAATATTTAAAATATATTATATATATATATATATAAAATATGTTTTTGAATCTATTAAATATTAAAAAAATATGTTCCAATAATATATTTTAGTGAATAATATTTAAATAAAAAATGTATTTAATATCTCTTCCAAACATCCAATGAGGCCTAAACATAAAAACATAAAATAATGAAGATTTAGTATGAAAAACACAATTATCAGTTGAGTAAATTGATGAAATAGTTCATAAAAACAAATTTTGAAAAAATTACTGGATAAAATTTTATGGCCCGGGTGGGTCTTGAACCTGGGTCCTTCGACTTGTGAGCCTCTTACCTTACCTCTGAGCTACTTGTGACTGTTGCTAACAATTGTTTTCAAATGGTGAAAGAGCGGCCGTCAGTTGCAATGGTTGCAATACTTGAAAATTTTTTGATACTACAGTATATTATGATTCTGTTAATCTGTTTTTCCGTAATTCGTTTCTTAAACGGTCACCAGTCGCTAGCACCCTTTTCTAGCCAATCATTAGATATTTCTATGATCACATTCATTGTCACATATTACAATTTAAAAAATAAAACCCATCAACACTTTTTTTTCGTTTGACCCAAATGTAGCTGCCGAACATGTATACTGCCTCTTAACCATATGCGTAATTTTTTCTTTACGTGCATGATGAGTGACACCATTCAGAGTACGTATTATTATTAACTTAATTTTAACGCTTTCATAATAGCAATTATCATATAAAAAATGCATGTATAAATTGATAGACACTATAAAAAAACAAAAAGATGCAAATTATTTATTTGCTAATTATAAAAGATTATATGCTATAGCCTATATTCTACAAATATATTATCATTTTATTAATAAAAATAAATGACGTTTTTCAAAATATATTTATAAATACTTTAAATATATAATATAGTTTCAAAAATATTTTATATATATATTTAAAATATTCTCAACACATATTTTTTTTTAATATTTAATAGGAAAAATATACATATAAAATATTTTTATTATAGATTCTATACTTATTTGATCAATATATATTATGAATCTATTTTATATATTCAAAACTTATATTTAATTTATATTTTGCATTGCTTTTTGGTAATATTTTAAATATATATTTGAATATATCAAACTGTTATTAAAGATATATTATTTATATATTTTATTTGAGGTTCTATCAAATACAACTTTAAATATATAAAATATTTATAAAATACATATTTGTGCTACTAGGGTAGATGTCAAAATACAGGTATGAAAAAGTATAATCAAAGGTTTCTTAAAATTATCAATGCATAAATTAACTTTTACTAAATAAAAAAAAATTGATCACCTAAAAATTTACAATACTTATTTTAGCAATTTTTGAATCAGTTGGAGTGTAATCATATCATTATCTGCACTGCAGTATTAAGTGATTTTGATTTTTCATATTTACGTTTACTTGATCGAGGCTACACTGCCAATAAGGTACTCACAGTTTATCTGTAGGAACTTCATGTGGTCTCAGAAGTCCAGTTCCTTTCACACTGTACTTCTGTTTGGTGTGGGCTGAGACAATTTCATCGCCGACTTTAATCTCTCCATCACGTACATACACCAGGGCCACAGCGCCGCGGTACTTGTCGTACCAAGTGTCGAAGATGAGAGCTCTCATTGGCGCAGAGCGATCTCCAGGGGGAGGAGAAATCCGCTCAATTATGGCTTCTAACAGCGTGTCAATGTAGATTCCTGACTTGGCTGAAATCTGTGAAGACAAAAACAATGGAGTAGAAGAGCTCGTTCATTTTGTTTGGAACTTTGGTAGTGATTGATGGTGCTGGATTATTTACAGCTGCCAAGATAGCAAAAACAAGAATACGCTGCCAAAAAAACAGATGGGATTTTTCAATGGGGCTCCTCGGTAAAGAAAAATATTATACCAGTTGGAACTGGGAAATCGAGTCTGCAAAGATTTTAATTTTGACCAGTAAAATATTATTCTTGCTAAATATTAGATAGTGTATTTGTTGTTTGTGCTCACTGCTGTTTGTTCATGTGAGAAGGTTTAGCCAGCGGTTAAGAGGGATAAGATAAGAAGAATAAGAAGATCGGAAACTGTAAACCAACAGCTGACCTGTATGTGGTTTTAACATAGAAAATATTAAGGTTATAAAAAAAATGATTTATTTCTATCCATACAAAAATGGCAATTAATCGCAATAACATAGCTAAAAGAGCACCCTAATCTTTAGCCCTGCCACTTTCAATTTGAATCCAGCTAATTTAATCTTTTATCAGATTATATATAGTGCAGCAGAACATTTAAATTCCTCACTTACCATGAGAACGTCTTCTGGATCAATGGAGAACAAATTGAGCAGTTGATCTTTGCACATCTCTATATTGGCATTCTTTAGATCAATCTTGTTGAGTACAGGCAGCACAGTGAGGTCTTGACCAAACGCAAGGTAGAAGTTAGCTACAGTCTGAGCTTGAACACCTTGGTTGGCATCCACCAGTAGAATCACACCTTGACATGCTGCTAGAGATCTACAATGACAATTACAGCAGAGTTATAACTTAATTAACTTATTTCTAATTCAAACTACAAATCGCTATAAATGATCATGATTTTTTCTCTATAATCAACTTTGTGCGGCAAAAGTAAGCTACTCCAACTTTCAGCTGATTGCCAATATTGCAATATGATTGGATTGGATTTAAATTACACTTGACATGCTAGGATGTATGTTTTAAGGCAAAGATGAGTTAAGAAGAGTTGAATTAATGAGATGACTGCTTCACTGGCCAAGATTACCTGGTTCTCTAACGAGTACCACGTTTGATCAAAGCCGAAAGACACAGCTGTTAAGAGCCATTAAAAGCATCTGACTTTTCTCAAGAACAAATCTGCGACCTCCCAATTACCAGGCGAGCGCTATATCTACTTAGCTGATTAGAAAGATTCCAACCTTAGACAAACATTACCTTGCAACTTCATTTGAGAAATCAACGTGGCCAGGAGTGTCGATCAGATTCAACAAGTAATCTTCACCTTTATATTTGTAGAACAGGGAAGCTGTCTGTGCTTTCACTGTTATTCCTCGATCCTTTTCAACTTGCAGCCTGAGGAAGCATTAGTTCCGTTGAGGAAAGCAAAAAGATAAATATAAACTTACTTGTAATAGTATATTACGTTACTAGTCCTGAAAATAAGTGTTTACCGGACGAGGGTGGTTCGTCGAGTACGGGATTACCAAACGAGTCCGGTACACACATTTTGGACGAGTTAGATACGATAGTTTACGCCATACTACTAAATCCGTACAAATCCTTGTATATTTCCACCAACTAAAGGACTAAAAATCACTAGTTAAATATCTAAGAGAGGTTATGTTTTTGTTTATAACCACCTAAATACAGTATAATCATAGACTAACAAACAAGGTTTTAAATGGCTGTAATAACGGGAAACAAATTGTAAACAAAACACGACCTCTACATAAACTGTACAGAACTAACAATAAAATTGTCTTCAGCTGTTCCATAAGGATGAGAAATCTACTAAGGGAGTATGTTTTATCTATGGTATAATCAACTGATTGGTGTCCGGTAAAACTCATTGCAGTAGTAGTACGTAATGAAACCCCATTTGATAAGCTGGTGGCAAACAGCTGTTTTCTGGACTATATCCTTGCGTGGGAAGTTTGTCAAAATAATGTAGTGTGGCGTAAAAAAATTATTAGAAGATGTCCATGTGGCTGCTGATTTAACAAGTATTTGACAAGAATAGAGTTCAGTTGGCTTTTCCAAAGAAATTATTAAAGTCCAGAGTTTTACCAATACAATAAAGATCACACTACATAGCATAGCACTAGTAGTGAAGTGAGGCGATATTGTGTGGAAACGGTGTTCTGTAGGAGACCTTTTTTAGCGGATTTCTTATACATAGGGGATAAACTATTACCGTAAGTCTCATGGTAAGACCTAGACATGGAACCACTTTACTTTTTCATTTTGCAGTCTCGAGAGAAAAAAAAACACCGTCATCTGTTCAAATTTGTATACATACTGCTGTAGTATACTGGTTTATGGATATATTTTGATCAAATTTAGTAAATTTATTTATTTAATAGCTGTTCACAAATGTTTATTTCATATTAAAATCACACTTTATGCCATTTCTTGTATCAGCAAACTTAAATTTAAGGAAATTTTGCTGACATCTTTAAGAAAATATTTTGTCGAATCAGGCAAATGGATATTCTCTTAGTCGGCAGATTTGCTGCGGGGGTAGAAGATGTTTTTATTCATAACAAAGAAGAATATCCAACCAACGGAAATTTATTGATCTTTTCTACAAAAAAGTGCTGTTAAAAATAAAACTGATGCAATTTTGGAATCCATATTTTTTCTATACTTACTTATCGAGGACTTGCTTGTTATCTGCTTTAGCAGTCAAGGCTCCGGTCATTTCCAGTAGTCGGTCAGCCAGCGTGCTCTTGCCGTGATCAATGTGAGCGATGATACTGAAGTTGCGGATGTTCTTGAGAGGTATATCATTCATCACGGTCCAACCTGGTTCTTCTCCTACCCCAGAACCATTGTCAGTTGTTTTTGAATCAAAACTGTAAAAAAATATAATTAACGGTATTAGCAAATTGACACACACTTTCTCCCATTAGCTTGTCAACAACATCATGGGTAAGGTGGGAGTAACAGTACTTTATGGGGAAATTACAAAAGCTGAAATAAATTTTGAAGTGTAATGTTTACAACATTGGGAGTTACAAAGATGAAAGGACCATAACAAACTAAATTTTAATCAAAATTGTTTGAGGTAATTTTGTGAAAAACTAAATTTTTGTAATTGTATAGAAAAGCCACTATTAAAAGTAAAATAAAATAAAAATAGCCTGGTGAATTAGTACCGGTACCTAAATACCGAAATTAATCAAAATTGGACTACATAAATTTTAGTCTTAGCTCTGTACATATCCACACACACAGACATAATTTCAAAAACCACTTTTTTGGGTTCAGGAGGATCCAAAATATATATTTCAACCCATAACCAAAGCTCAAAAATGTTGAAAAAAACTATTTTTTTTATTATTATACTTGATATATACTGTAGGCTATAGGGGGAGAGAGTAAAAAGAACACAATTCAATAAACCACTCAAAGGTGCTAAAAGCCTAAAGTTCTATTTTCGCTTTTAGTTTTTTGTTATTGTTGATAGTTTACATAAATTACACAACATATGATACTTGCCTACCGTAAAGTTCCAGGATCCACATCAAAACTGAGTTTTTCCGACAGGTTAGACTTTTCATTCTCTTTGACGTCTACATGATTTGTTTCTTGTTCATCGTTCAGTTGACTTCTAACTTTAATTCTCTGTTGATCCAAGTATCGTGAGGTGGTTTCGACACTATGCATGAGCACATTTTAAAAATTATACGTTGAAAAGATATACTTAATTTAGTTAGTTATTTTAATGTAAAATAAATGGCTAGCTTACTCTTTTCACATAAAACTAATAAAAATTGCATAAATATTCCCACCAATAAAATTATTCAAAATCTACCTACCAATATAATTGCACTTTGTTTACCTCAATAATTTGTTATTGAATTTTAATTCAGAAATATACATTCAGAAAAAACATATTATTGTACCGGTTATTTGCCGATTCAGTTTTTTAACGGCAAAGTTTTGATTAAGAAAAGTAAAATTTATAAATTCAACTTACATTATATTTTCAATTGTGACACTATTTCCCTTCAATGAATCTTCTGCAACAAAATGTACAATTTAATAGCTAATTTACTGTTGTATGATGTTAAAAAAAAAAAACATTCTAGCCAAACACTACTGCATAAGTCTATTATCCAAATTAAATGCTCTTGGTAGAAAGTCATTACAGTTTGTTTAAGTGTAGGATCTAGAGGGAAAATTAAAAAAAGTCTTTAATTGGCCCTCGTGGTTACGATAAACACAGTAGTACTAATACAAAAACTACTTAATTACCAAAGATGAAATAGTGCTGGATTTATTTTTCAGTATTTATTTTCATAGTACAATATGGGAAAGTCTCAATGTTTTATTAGTTTATATACTTCAATCAAACATTCATAAATTAAAGCTTATTATGTATTTAAAAAAAATGTTCGATGTACCTTTTTCTATCCTTGGATTGCAAATATTGTTTTTCACCAACATTTCTTGACTTTGAATTTGCAAAACATCAACCGTTTCCTTTTGAAAATTTTTCAAAGTACTAAAGTTCTCCACTGTTTGAATTTCACTTGAATTCTGTGGTCTGAAAGTCTTGTTACTCTTTTTGTGAAGATATCTTGGTGGGAAAATTGTATTTGTGTTGATGTGATATTCACTTTCTTTAGATTTTGCAACAATATATGAGGATGTATCAATTCCCTTGGAAGAACATTCATTATTTACTAAAAACAAAAAACCGTACTCAATGAATGTTTTCATAATCTACTTTTTCAATACAAAATTTGAAATAAATTGCCATATTAGCACTCTATATAAAATTATACATCATAATACACAATATGCTATTTGAATAATGTTTAGGAATTAATTGTAACAGGTTAATGGTTAAAGCCAGGTTTTCCTAGGCACGAAAGGGGAGCTCGGAGGGAGGAACGCGGAGAGCGTAAACTCCTCTTGTCTTAGGTAATTTAATGATACTGAGTATTTTCCTAGAAGCGGAGCAGAATGCTATGTTGATCGCTTCTCCGCGCTCCTCTTCCGAGTCTAGGAAAACCCGGCTTTACTAAGAATGTGCATTTACTGAGCCTAAAGTCTTATTTCCTAGTCTTATTTATTCAATAAGACTAGGAAGATTAAAGAGAATTTAGTTATAGTTTATGAAGCCAAACACCTTGGATTGTATACATGGCCATGAGAGTAAGAGAAATTCAGTCAGTTCATCCTAGTACTGGTCCTGCTTTGCTCAATAAATTCTAGACAGGCTAAATTAAATCTTTGTACAGAAAATGTAAAGAGCAAATGCATCTTCTCAGGGTAAAACCTTGTAAGAGAAAATGCAAAGTTACGAATAAACTTTAAATACATTTTAATTCTATAATCACTCTTCAAACACAACAAATCTTACAAAGGTTTCTTTTATCCAACAGGCCAGAATGAAGATTCAACCTATTTTGTTCAGAAAGCCATTCCAATCTTGCATTGTTCAATAGTTGGCCAGTGGAACCTTTACAATATTGTTCTTCTCTTTTCACAACAAACCCTAAAACATTTCAAATTATTAATGCACATCAGCTTTAACCCTTAAAGTCCCAAATAATGGTTAAAACCAAACCTTAATAATTAATTCATTTAGTTTGCAATAGTGTGATGTACAATAAATTTATAAAACTTTTGTTCAGTGACTTTAAATAATGAAATTAATTAAAATAATAATTTTAATTCACCCACCTCTTGTAGATTGGTTTCCCATTATAGGGTATGTTTCAGTTATTCACTAAGTTAACATTATAACATGATAAAATATTTTTTAAACTACTTTCACAAACATAACAACCCAACAAACCTAACTAATGAATAGAAAATCACATGAGTGTAGATTTAGATAATTAATCATTTGTTATCTGAAGCTATTTGGGGCTAGTAAATCAGTGTTATGTGACAGTTGTTTCATAAAAAATAAGTGTATTGATAACTTGTAAACTAATCATTATCAATTTGAAAGAATAGTTTGTAACACTATTTTATTAATGGAAAACAAGGTGTGACTCATTAACAAAAATAGATTGATTTAAACCTCAATTAGGCTATTTGAAAAGTATAATCTCCCCACAACTTTTATGACTCTTCTTCATCACTTGGAAACATTAAACTATTTTCTAATTCTTTTTTAAAGTTTTTCCCCTCAAGAACTGAAATAAAAAATATAAACTCCAAAAGGAGTTAACTACTATTGATATTCTAAAGAAATTATGGTAGAGAAGAGAAAGCAATGAGATAGTCAGGAAAGTATCCTGCTCGAGCAGTCTGGAGCAATTAAAAATAACCTCAAGTTCCAATTGAGAGCAAGAATAGGTTATGTGCTATAATTTACTGTATACCTTTTTACACGGGAATATCACGGGGACTACCTTGATGCAACCAGCCCCATCAAAATGTCAAGAAACGGGCGAAGCTCACCGGCGACAAAGTACTCCGACGTCAAGGTGACCTTCTCATCCTGCACTCCCCTTTATACCTTTAACCATGGCTACTACCACAGCCACCTCTACGCGGCGAGCGAAAAGTGGCAACGTTGCATCCGTGTCTTGGTGCGCGGCCGTCTTAAGCACGGGTCACACTAGGCTGGCATCAGCGGCTAATTGAAAGAAGCCGCGACTGTCAGCTTAATGTGACCACAAAATTCGCAGCTGACACAGCCTGGATTGGTGAGCCGGTGCTGCTGGTGCCAGCTGCTGATCACCATCGGCTGGCGAACAGCCTAGTGTGACCCGTGCTTTACCATTACAGTGAATGGAGGAGTCGCGTACTCTACGTACATAGTCGCGTTTCTACTACCCTTAATAATTAGTAATGACATCGAACTTGTTACTACAGCATGCCAGATAGATGTGATGTGCTTGGATGCAAGAATAATTACGAAAGCTCAATTAAAAATGAATAATACATACAGTATTCTAAGATTCCAAGTGATGCGCCGCGTAAGAAACAATGGCTTCCTGCTATTCTTCTGTCAAATTAGACATCTTTAAACAACTCTCGTTTTTGTATAAAAAATGTTCACGAATATGAACTTAGATTTGTAAAATAATGTAAGAATAAGACAATGATTCGTGTAAATATAGACGCGAGAAGCGAGTTGTAGGTATAATCATTGAGTATAAACCTAACTCAATGGTTAGGTTTATACTCAATGGTATAATATTGCCGTACTATTTCCTTATATATTTATTTGTCTATTTTATTGATCAAAGTTGTTGTTAAGTGAATAAAATAACTTATATAACTAGCACTTTGAAGAAATAAACCGGTGTTTCTGTTAAGTAGGCCTAGTATAAAATATGTACTACACCATCTAACAATAAAAGCATCATAGCATAGACTAATCAACACTAAGGGAGTATGTTTTATAAGGGAGTATGATTTATCTATGGTTTTATCTATGATCATAGTCTCCGACTCCAGTCTGAATGTTGATGTGATAAAACAATTCTATTAATATTGAGGAAAGCCATATGGAGGCCTATCTTCTGATATCGTTTATAAAATGAAATACGTTTGCTTGGTAATAATTATTCAAAGAAAATAAATTATTTAGTCAGTATGCCTTCAAAATGAAAAGTTCAAATTTTGTTGTCGCTAACTTATGGATTCCTCAGGTAGACTAAAAAATAATATTTCTATTGAAAATTGAAAATTAATTTTATTTGAACAAATTGTTAGATGTTAGTTTCTACAAATCCCAATGTCTCTACAAATATTGAAGTGGCAATAAGTTAGTCCTTCTGTATTACTATTCTTGGTATAGTAGCTATATTTTGTAAAATTTAAGTCCAGTCTGTCTAGTAGTTTTTACTATGTTGAATAACACACATACAGACACCATGAGATTGTTATATCACATAGTATAGATTATCAAATTAACAAAGGAAATATGTAAAGTCCATCTATTTCCACATTCATCGTACTTACAATACGATATATGCGTCCAAAAACATTTCGTTTGTATATTTTTAGTTTTAGAAATATTGTGGTATGTTGCAATTCTTCACAAAATAAAAACCTTGATTCTAATTTGTCTATTTTACCATACCCTAAATCCAATAAAATATGTAATTTAAATACTTTCATTCATTGATACAGAGCAGCAATACTCTCATTGATGTTTATAGCCTAGCACGAGTGCCGGACGCAGGCGGCGGGTGAGTGCGGCGGGTGAGTGCGGCGTTGCCAGTTCGAACGTCGCGGCCTTGTATTAGATGTGGCTGTGCTACTACTTAAGTAGCTTGGCCTTGTTTCGTGCGTCTAAATAAAACTATTTAATCATAAACAATAACTCGTCCCAACCCAGATAGCAAAAAATACTTGATTAAAACTTGAAACAAGTTTGATTTGTCAAATCTGCAAACTTGAATCAAGTTTGCTCGGATGGGTCCGTAAACTTGATTCAAGTTAATATCATGCGTCGAAGTTCCCGCTCTTCCAGTTTGAATAAAACTTGAAACATCTAATTTGAATAAAACTTAAAATTTCTAATTTGAATAAAAATTGAAACATCTAATTTGAATAACACTTGAACTATCTAATCTAAATATAAATTGGAAAAATACTTGATTCAAGCTTGAAATAAGTTTGGTTTGTCAAATCTGCAAACTTGAAGGATCGGGTTTGTAAACTTGATTCAAGTTAAAATCATGCGTCGAAGTTCCCGCTCTTCCAGTTTGAATAAAACTTGAAAGATCCAATTTTAATAAAACTTGAAATATCTAATTTGAATAAAAATTGAAACATCTTATTTAAATATAAATTGAAGAATACAAGAAATAATTCTTTTTTAGCCACTTACAAGCTCTTTTTTTATTTCTGAAAATTTAATTCATATGCTTTTACCAGGATTCACACAGTCTTACATGTAATAAAAATTTCATATTTTTTAGGTTGAGATGCATAGCACAATATAATCTTCCAATATTTCAGATAATTAATTTTTCACAATCACAACATAATCTAATAACTTCAATGCCTCTAGTTGTTAAATGCCAAGACAACTTCTCTAAATAAAAAAGCGAGATACCATCTAAAAACTTGTTTTTTTTAAAAACAGGAAAACATGAGTTATTATAGTTTTCAACCCTACAATTTTACATATTATTACTATTCAGTACGCAGAATTCAGAATTATTTGAAATTAAAAATAAAACACAAGAGATAATTTGTCTAAATAGATTTATATTGAAGATTTACATAACACATTTACATTTGAAAATGCCTCGCGTATCTTTAAATTTCAACAAACAGTTCCTTAAAAAATTCCCCATTTTACGATTACTTAAATAATACAGAGTAAGTTATCTATTCAACAAGATCTTCATCCCCATTGAGTGGAACTTCTTCCCCACTATCCACAGTGGCAGGTTTTTTCCCTCTGAAAAAAAGTCAAAACAAATAGAATCAATATTAAATTTAAGGATAATCAACCAAAATGATAAATTTTGTATCTGGTATAAAAAAATAGGCAAGTAAGCAACATTTTAAACTAACGCAGTTAAACTCACAACCAGTGTAAGTTTAGTGAAAATTTATGAATTTATTCCTACAATGATATACAAATACAATATATGATCTTCACAATAATATTAGTACAGTATTAATTATTAATATGTATAAAACACAATCACATTTTTATTGTCAAAAAATGCTAAACACAAGCCCAGGATTGTTTTCACATTACTTCAGACAAAACCTAGGCGTTGCAGCATTATCACTTCGATAAAATAATTAGGTGAATCTGCGGGATTTTGTATTTTACGGTTTAAGTATAAAACTAGTTGAGCGAAGCTCACTTTCCCTCACTTTGTAACTTCTTTGTAAGAGCATCAGAATGTAATGGCTTGACCAATTGATATGAAATTTGGCCAACAGCTAAAGAATACTGAGCACAATGTTTAGGTAAAAAATATTTGCAAATTTCCTTCTGGATTTTATTTTACAGGTCACGCAATTTCGCTTGTTATTTTAATATAAGTTGAAAGAAAAATTATATTGGGTCTTTGACATATGGGTTTATCTCGTTTCATTTAATTAAGATAAACATATGTTAATTGTTTGTAACTGTTTTGTTTACATTTCAATGTTTACTTTCATCCTAGGTAAAAGTTGGAATGTAACAGTTTATCAATGGAAGTAACAGTATTGCTATATTTGTTTTGAGCATGCCTCAAAGGCCACGTCGTAATATTGGTCGTCGCACCAATAACGCAAATATTGTAAGAGAGTGGCGTCGTGAACAAGAAGAACCAGATGAAGCAGTGGCGGAAGAAGCTGATAATGATAGGCAGTTAGCTAATCAATTCTAACATGAATTAGATGCACTAAAATTTTACATTTGCACTAACTGTCATCGCCAACAACTAACAGCTTCAAGCAATTTTTTGGTGTTCAAACCAATCACCGATTTGTTCGCGTTGTCGTTCAAATGCAACTAAATTCACGGCGTTAAATAATATGGATGTGTCAAGTGTCCCGAACAAATTAACTGACCTGACGATTGCAGAACAAATTTTGATTGCACGAGTACATCCCGCTATGCGCATTTACAAAGTACAAGCAAATGGTCAGGCTTTTATCAATTCTTATTCTTAACTAAATAAATGAACTATCAGATAAATTTGTCATTCTTTAGAACCTAAATAATATCGGGCAAACAAACGGTGAATCTGTTGAAAGGGAACATATTGTACAGTAGGTTGTTAGCTGCTTTAGCCATTAATCTTCAAATAATGCTTCTCTCATTTATGCGTCTAAAGTGTAACGGCAGACCACCCTAGTGA